AGGGTTTCCCTTCATCTGCCCTTTTGTACCACAAACGTTGACAGGGCATCTCCTGTGGGCCAGAAGCTGTGCTGGGCACTTAGGACACACAGAGGTGAGGATGACTAGGTCCCGTCCCCACAGTCGAGTTGCCCCTGGTCCCCGGGGGACACCTGCAGTGGGCAGTGGAGAGCTCAGTGGCAGTGCTGTGACCCAGCAAGGCTGAGGGCCTTGGTTCCAAATGGGAGGAGGCCGGTCAGTCCCAGCTCTGGGCTGTGTCCTGCAGGACAAGAACCATGCTTGGACGTAAGCAGGGCTGTGCTAAAGTCCTTGGCATTTTCCTGGGAGCAACAAGGAGGCGCAAACATACTGCAAGCAGCAGGGTGACACAGCAGCTGTCTCGTGGGGGCAGAGGGAATATCTGATCTCTGTAGGAAGCAGAAGTGGAGGCCTGCAGAGAAGACTTTGTGCAGCCGGGCGCGAAGGTACACGGTCCTCCTCTACCATGTTACAGGGCCCAGGGGAGGCCAGGGTGGAGCCAGGCTCGGAAGGAAGCGGCGTGGGAATGGCGATGGAAGCCATGAGGACAGCACACGTGAAGGACGAGTGTAGGGAGGTGAGAACTACACCCACATCTAGGTCGGAACCAAAGGAGAAGGGCATGACAGCGAGACTCGCAAGAGCGGCCAGGAAGGCAGGGTCATCCCCAGAGCAAAAGGAGCCGGTCTCACAGGGAAGGGTGTGGTCTGTGTCACCGGGCTGCAGGGACCCCACACGGCATGCCGCTGATGCCGTCCCCTGGAGTGGGCCGTTTTCAGCGGCTGGCATCATCCCATAGAGGAATCTGTTCTGGTGCTGAGACGTAACCGTGAGGAGATCACCCAGGTGGGTGACTCTCTTTCTGGAATCTAGAAGGTAGACTTGGAGGGACAAGAGAGAAGGCTAAAGCCACATGGGTAAGCGGGGCTCTGGCAAGTGTGTAAGGCGGGGAGCTGCGTGCGTAGAGATACTGACAGGGAGGAGGAGGACAGGGTCCAGACGTGGCCTTGAGAGAACCCTCCAGATGGCCGCATTCTTTGCAGAACCCTGAGCGCTGTCGGCCCCACCTCTGCCACCTCCTCCCAGACTCTCCGTGCATCCAGCTTGCACAGGACTGAGCCCCACTGGACGTGGCCCTCAAGTTCCCAGAGCGAAAGAAGGAATCATATAATTGCACAGGGCAAGGCAGCCCAGAGAGGTGAAATGATAAGCTTGAGTTCACACAGCTGCCAGAGGTGAATTCCGGGCTAGAATACAGGACTCTGCCTCCAAATCCAATGCCATTTCCATAATGTGAACTTGCATTTGCCCCAGATGCTTCAGCCTCCTGACCACGGTTATTCCCTTTCCTTGGAAGGAGAGTGAGTTTTCTTTCGGGTAGGGTCCTACTGGTAATGAATTGGTAGACTTCCTGCCAAGGACATTGCCGAGTTCCATCAGAGGCACTACTCAGGTACCAAGGAGACCGTCCGTCTGCAGAAAGGCCCCATGGGGCTGGGAAAGTGCCACAGGCCAGCATCAGTAGCAAGCACAGCCCACACTGATTCACAGCTGCGGTTCACGCTGGCACTCCGCAGGCGGTCTTGGCGCTCAGTAGAATGGCGCTTTGTTTCTGCTAAGGATCCAGTGTACTGAATTGGGCTGGCACCAGCGACCTTGGCACCTCTGCCCAGCGGGTCACATGCTTGGGTCTTTCTGGAGCCCTGGCCCGTTGTCAGTGCATCCCACGGGTCTGCACAGGACAGGGCAGAGAGCAGGCCAGGGCAGGCTCTGCATTTCAGATGAAGAGGATAGCAGCCCGAGGTTTTCTCCGGGCAGGGCCCAGGGACTGGTCTGAGGACCTGCAGGGAAAGATTTCCCCTCGGCCGGGGGCCTGCTCTTTCCACCTGACCACAGGGCTGCAACCAGTGTGGTATCAATAACCAGTGATCTGCTTTTTGTCGCTATAGATTCGTCTTTTCTGCAAGTTTTATGTAAATGGAGTAAGCACACATTAGTAGTTTGTTGCTAAATAATTCCATTGTAAGGGATTTTATTTATCCATTCACCTGTCAGTGACTTGCGTTCTGTTTTCGGCTTTGTAAATCATGCTGCTATAAACTGCTGCTTGTATTCACACACGAGTTTTTGTATATGGATATATGTTCATTATTCTTGGGTGGATACTTAGAAGCAGAATTGCAAATGTATAGGGTAAGTGTATGTTTCACTTTTAAAGAAACCACCAAACTGTTTTTCAAAGTGGCTGAACCATTTTACATTCTCATCAGCAATGGTAGAAAGTTCTAGTTTCTACACATCCTCCCCAGCACTTGGTACTGGCAGCCTTTTTATCACAGCCATCCTCGGGGGGTCTGTGTGGTATCTCATGGTGGTTTTAGTGTGTGTGTGTGTGTGTGTGTGCGTGCGCATTTCTCTAGTGACTAATGATGTTAAGCATGTTTCCATGTGCTTATTAGCCATTTGTATATCTTTTTTGGAGACAGATCTATTTAAATCTAGATATGGTTGTAGAAGTTCTTATGTATTCTGGATACAAAGTATGTATCAGACACATGATTTGGGGATATTTTCTTCTAGTCTGTGGGTTTTCTTCTTTTCTTCTTTTTTTTTTTGTATGATGGCGCCTTTTGAAAAGCAAAAGAAAATATTTAAATTTTAATGAAGTCTTGTTTACCAAAATTTTCTTTCATGAATTGTGCTTTGGGGGTCACAGCTAAGAAATCTTTGCTTAATCCAGGGTTACAAAGACTTACTTCTATGTTTTGTTCTATAAAATTGGTAATTTTAGATCTTACATTTAGGTATATGTTGAGTTGAATTTTTGGGGGGTGTTTAATGTGAAATAAGAGTCTGAGTCCATTTTTTTTGCATATGATGTATGGATATCTGCTTGTTCCTGCACCGTTTGTTAAAAAGACTATCTTTCCTCCACTGAATTGACTTGGCACCTTTGTAAAAAATCAATTGACCTTAAATGTAAGAGATTATTTCTGCATTTTTATTCTATTCAGTTGATCTTTCTGTTCTTAAGCTATTAATAAAACTCATTTGATTACTATAGCTTTGCAGTAAGTTTTGAAATCAAGCAGTGTACTTGGTTTTTTATGTACCAACTTTGTTCTTTATGTAGTTCCTATATTGTATCTTCAGGATTTTATCCAGAGTCATGTCACTTGTGAATAAAGGCAGGTTATTTCTTCCATTCCTTCTTCTAAATCATCATGCATTTCCTTGCCTTTTCTTGCCCCAATACACTGGGTAGACTCTCCAGTACAATGTTGAATAGAAGTGGTGAGCACCAGTATCTTTGTCTTATTCTTGATCTTTGGGGGAAGCAATTAGTCTTTTACCATTAAGAATGCTGTTAGCTATAGGTTTTTCATAGATACCCTTTATAAAGTTAAGAAAGCTTCCTTTTATTCTTAGATTTTTAAAGAGCTTTAATCATGAATGGTGTCGGATTTTGTTGGATACTTTTTCTGTGTCTACTGAGATGATCATGGGGTTTTTGTCCTTTATTCTACTAGTATGTTGTAATCACTGATTTTTGGATGTTAAACCAACCTTGCACTCATGGAATAAATCCTATTTGGTCATGGTGTTTAATATTTTTTATATGCTGCTGGATTTGGTTTGCTAATATTTTGTTAAGAATTATTGCAATATAAGGTTGGTCTGTGGTTTTCTTGTGATGTCTTTGGCTTTGTGAAAGCAATAATTAGCCTCATAGAATGAGTTGGGAAGTCTCCCCTCTTCCTCTGTATTCTAAAGCTGTTGTGTAAGATTGGTATTATCTCTTTTTTAAATATTACATAGAATTAATCAGTAAAGTTATCTGGGCCTGGGCTTTTCTTCAGGGGAAGATTTTTAAACTATTATTTCAATTTCTTTACTTGGTATAAAAGTAAGTCTCTATAGAGCTATTCAAGATTTCCAGTTTCCTCTTAAGTCAGCTTTGGTAATTTATTTTTTTCTAGGAATTTTTCATTTCATCTAAGTTGTCTAATCTGTTGGCATACAGTTGTTTTTAATATTCACTTATCATTCTTTTCATTTCTGCACAGTCAGCAGTGAAGCTCCCTCTTAGATTCTTGATTTTGTTCATTTGTGTCTCCTCTCTTTTTTCTTGGTCAGTTGAGCTCGTACAACAAAGCCCCTTCCTTTTGCTTGTGAGCAAAGTTAGTGTTCATGACAGCTAACAACTCTTGTGGCAGCAGCATGAACCGGTAAGAGTGGGCACAGACTCAGCATGAGAGGTGCCATATGTGGCCGTGTGGTGTGCCCCACCACAGAGCCCTGGTCCCCAGCCTGCCCTGGACAGAGAGCTCCTGTCCTGCTTCCTCTGTGGGGCAGGTCCAGGGAAGGGCTGGGGAGTGAGGGATGAGATCATGGTGCCCTGGCATCTTTGACCATGAGTCAAGGACAGGGTTCTGATGAAGCTCCACTTCTAACTTGATCTTCATCCCAACCATTCTCTCCCCTTCCCTCTCAGCACGCTCTGCACCCCACCCCGCATCTGCCACAAGTACACCAGCAAGAATGTGGGATTTGGCATTTATTGAGCCAATATCTTATCGTGTTATTTCCCATTCTTCCAGGTCGGTGGGATTTTCCTGCTCAGTGTTGGTGAGCTATAGTGAGGCTCTGCCACTCTGTTCTCGGTGGGCATGAGTACAATCAAGTCTACCAGAGAAGAAGTAACATAGCATTTGGCTTTTCTGACCCAAAGGCTTTAGACACAAAGAACGTCTGGACTGGACAGAAACCGCCTTAGTCACCAACTCTGCTAGGAGGAGGCAGAGATTTTCATGTTGATCCACTCTTATCAGAGAGCATCTGGAATGTCCTGATGTCTTTCCCAATAATGAAACATGCTAATGATGCAGAAAATGCTTAATTATGACTTCATGCCTTTCCTCCCATCTCATTCCAAGTATGCATTTATAAAAACATTGTTTTATTAATAGTAAGGACGTCTGGGTGCAGTGATTGAAGCCGGGATTCTGTGCACTAGAACTCTGAGTGACAGTTTACGGGAGGACGGAGGGAAAGCAGAGGGAGGAGAAGTGAGCGAGGTCCGAACCTGGACATAAGGCACAGGGTGCCACCCGCCACCTCATGGCAGCAATTTTACAAAGAAGTAGCACAAATCAGAGAGTATGGCTGGGTCCATTTCATTCTTCCCAGATCAAGACGGGGAGAGGAGAGCGCTCTGGCTTGGTGGCTCCACCCGGGAGAAGTTCTCAAGTGCGAGGAGCTGCACAGGCTGAGTCCCCACCGGGGCAGCCTCAGATGTTCATGGTCAGGTTGATGAACTGGGAATAGAAAGAGAGAGATGAGGGCTTGTCCTTCCACACACCCCCCACCCCCGAGCCTCAGGGGTGACCTTAGTTTGTCTACATCACAAGAAATCTGCCATTTCATCGTTTTGCCTGCAAATCTGAACTCCCACCTCAACGGGAAAGCATTCTTAAGAAAATAAATGATAAATGCACATATAAGAATAACATCTATTGGATGTTGGGCAGGGGGAAGGGAGGAGGGGGGAGGAGGGGACGGGTATTTGCATACACAAAGAGTGCAATGCGCACCACCCGAAGGATGGACATATTTGAAACTCGGACTTGGCGGGGGGGCAAGGGCAACATACGTAACCTAAACATCTGTACCCCCATAATATGCTGAAATAAAAAAAAAAGAAAAGAAATGAATTCTTAGCACTTGGAGTTTTCTGCAGGTCTTGAGCCCTTCCTTAGTGTGCTCGTGTCTAGCACAGATGGTAAGACGGAGGGATGAGCAAATGTGCTTTCTGCCTTTCGAGAGCACAGCCTCACTGAGGCGCCTCAGGCAGGGTGGCATAGAGTGCTGTTTCCTCTTTAGTGAGGGGTCCCCTCACCTTTGGGACAGAGGTAACCCTCCATCCATCACAAGGGGCAGGGGAACAGGATCCGTGGTCGGGGCTCGTGACAGGCGAGCTGGTGGAGAAGAGGCACTGAATTCCTCAGTTCCTCTCCTGAGTGCAACCTGCCTTCTCCTTCCTGCCAGCTTGCTTGTCACAGCAAGGAGACTTGGGGGGAACACGATTACGTGGGATTTTTTTTTCTCTCCTCTCTCCCACCTTCCTGGGTACAGCATGTGCGGTGCAGGGGCCAGAGAAATGGGGGACACGCAGGCTCCTCCAGCAGAGGGACTGCAGGTGAGGCAACCTCAGCCAGGGAAAGCTCCCGTTGCTTCCTAGGTAGGGGGTGGGGTGGGAGGCCTTAAAACAGGAGTGCTCCAACTTGGCTGCACAGTGGACTCACCAGGGAGATTTAGAAAATATCAGTGCTTGGGTCCCATCCCCAGAGATTCAGAATTTAATCGGCCTGGGGTGTGGCTGGATCATCAGGACTGTTAGATCCTCCAGGTGATGCTAACGTGCAGCCAGAGGTGGGGATGGTGGGTTTAGGGGCAGAGAACACAAAGGTTTTCCCTGCTGTCTCAGAGAGGGATAGCTGTGGGCGGAGCAGGAGCTCTTTCCAGCCCCTACACCTGTGGGCACGGGGTTGGAAGTGATGACACCTTGAACCTGGAGCAGGTGAATTTTTCCTCCATGCTGCTGGCACCTGCGCCCGGGCTGGCCAGGAGGCCACAAACCTGTCCTCTCCCCTTTCCACCATGCACAAGGGGAACTGTCACACTTCCTTCATGCTTACTAGTGGCAAACTTTAAAGTACATGAGAAATAAAGGTGGGCCTAGGGGTCCCTTCTGGTTTTCATAATAGAATGGTTTGAGTATGCACATCTTTTTTGGGTGTTTTATACAGTCATCAGTCAAAGGAGTTATATTTATTGACTGCATCCTACAGGCTGCAGGCGAAAGAGAGCACTGCAGGGGAAACGTCCTGTTTCTGCTCTCCATGAAATTATGACACGTGCAGGCATCTGAGATGCGCACATGGGAAAATTAGAGAAAAGTCAACATAATAAATTGCCGGATTCTTTGACATTATTGTAAACCAAACTTTGGTGTGAGATTAAGGCCTAGATCTCTTCCTGCAAATGGGGAAACTGAGGCACGGAGCAGGCTGATCAGTCCAAATCAGAGTGCAAAAGAGGGGGGGAGATTCCACCCCCACCTAGGCCTTTTTATCTTGGAATAGCCAGTTAAATGTCCTCCAAACCCAAGGTTTCTACTGAGTTTGGGAATGAACTGATGTGAGCCGTGAGTGTGGAAGTGGGCAGAGATTGGGGAGGAGGCCTAGGCTGCCTGGCGTGAGCACGGGTAGGTTGAAGAGAAAGCAGAGCTGGACCGAAAGACACAGGGAGAGAAAGAAAAAAATGGGAAATAAAAATTATAGACACCATTGAAGGAAAGCATTCTACCATTTCCCCTTTGCCTTTGGGCAGGAGGATGTCGAGCCAGCGTTCTCGAACTTTATGGGCAGAGGAATCCTTGGGGTCCTTTTAAAAGGAGATTGTGATTCAGCGGGACTGGGGGGAGCCTGGCCCTCTGCGTTTCCGACAAGCTCTCTGGGCGATGTTCCCGCGACTGCTGGCCGTGGACCACCCTCTGGGCAGCAGGGTCAGCAATGATCCTCTGGGGAGAAGATTATCAAAATCCCCTGGAACGCTGCTTCCACGCCTCTGAAACCCTGATCCACACTCTCCCACCTCTGTCATCGTTGCCGTGACAGCCCCTGTAACGGGTTCAGTGTTGCATTTCTCAGGGCTTTTGATGCGCGTGCATGCATGCACACACACACGCATCATGGGAACCACGGGACAACGCGAGCAAGGGAGGTGGACAGGTCGGAAGCTGGAAGGCAGGGGTGCTGAGCTGTCCAGCTACGGGAGGACGAGGACAAGGCAGAGTTCGCTCCCTCACCCCATTCAAGTGACCAATCTCTCTGCTTCTGTTTCCCCCTCTGCAAAATGAGGATACTATTGGGACTTGGCTCACAGGATTACTGTAATGATTCAATTGATTACTAAATAAACAGTATTTCAAAACACACTAGCTAGTCTCTCCACTGAATGTTAACCCTCACATGAAATCGTGCGTTCAGAAACGTTTACGGAGCTTGGGCTCTGCCAGGCCCTGGCTTGGCCGTACCTCATTTATGTTGAGATGAATGAACTCCTTGTTCTTCGTGCTGAGAGCCTGGAACACCCCTGGTAGGAGAGACAGGAGAAAGGCATCCTTTAGAGACAGCCGCTCTAACAGATTTCCTTGTTTCCCCGCGACCGAAGGGCCTTTCTGTGGCGCCTGTGAGCGAGCTGCTCCCTCTGGCGGTAAACAAGGATGTTTGGGAGCAGCAGGAGGACCCCGGCTGGCAGAGGGGACTTCTGTCTACTGGAGGAAGCCTCTTCATTCCTGCAGCAAGCCAGTGGCCTTAGGAGTGGTAGCAGGTGCTGTCACCTGCAATATGCCAGTCAGCTGGCGAGCGGCTCCCGGGTCAGAAACATCTCCCCTGTCTTAACCCTTTGGGGGTTACAGACCCCTTGAAATCCATGGGCCCAGAAAAAAATGCACATGTGTGTAAAGTTTTGCATGGATCTGAAAACCGTTAAGTCTCTCTCTGAGAGTCCCATACGGGAAGGGGCTGTAGGTGCTCTCAGAGGGCAGGAGGGCCCAGTGGTGGCGTAGGAGAGAGAGCCGGCGCTGAGCTGGGTGCCGCGTCAGTGTGACCTGGGCAAGTTACTTTCCGCTCCGGCTTCAGTCTCCTCGCCTCGGCAGGACGAAGGCCAGCGGCCAACCTTGGCTTCTCTAGAGAACCACCGTGGGCATTTTAATGAGACAACCAAAGGGGCTGTCACCAAACGTAGGGAATGGAAGAGGCCCAACAGCCAAGGGGATGGGCCTTGTTTGGCTCCCGCGTCAACCCGGCAGCTGTAAAAGGTGACCTGGGAAATGTCAGCAGGGACCAGGCATTCAAGGACGTCGAGGATTTCCCGAGAATTTTGTCAGGCGTGCAAATGGCACGAGGCTGATGCTAAAAACAAGGCTATCCATCTGAGAGACTTACAGATGGAAGGACAGAATATCTGAGACCTTTAATTAAATACTTCAGGGGGAAACAGTATGTGTTGGGGAAACATAAGAAAAAAAATTAGCGAGATGATAATTGTTGAGGCTGGCGTAAAGCTCTGGAAATCGCCTGGGAATTTTTATAAATCCCGGTGCTGCGCGCCACCCCTGAGATTCTAATTTAACTGGTCTGTGGTGCAGCTCAGTCACGAAATTTCTTTAAGCAACCCTGAGGGATTGTAATGTGTAGCGAAGTTTGAGAGGCACTGGCGTGGGGTGTGTAGGGACCTATTACGATCCTTTCTATCTAAGTGGATGATTGAAAATTTCCATAATAAATAGTTAAAGTAACAGTAGGGTAAAGCTCAGGCCTTGGTAGTCGCAAAAGTTCTCCAGGTGCACGCGATGCGAGGCTCCCAGAGCAGACGGTGTTGAGCTTAAATGGCCTCGTCCCTAATATTCCTCCACTATGAGAGCAAGGTGAGAGCCATCCCTCTCCCACCCCAAACTGTGAAGGATTAGCTCTGGGGGGATTTAGAAAGGGAAAGAGCAATTGAGAGAAGAGAAACGATCAAATTTCACGATGCCTAGGGTCAGCTTTGGCCACCCTGTAAGTCTAATAAGTGATTCTCTTTCAGAAGGGGTCTTTCTAGACTGCACCTCTCACTAGCTACTGGTGTCCACCTAGAGAAAGCCCAGCCTCTTGGCTGGACATACAAGGCCCTTTGGGGCCCACTCACCTCTCTCCAAATCCCTCTCATCACTTCTTAGTCCACATATATTCACTGAGTGCCCAGTAAGTGCAGCTTCCTTAGAGCTCACAGTGCAGTGGAGACCTGCTTTACGAGGCAATTACAGTGTCCTGTCACCAAGGAAGTAGAGGGAGCCATTGCACGGTGTAACCAAGGATCACAGACCCTGCCTTTCCTTACCAAGTACCTCGAAGTGGCCTATCAAACATATTTTAGAAAATGCCAAGCAGGACCAGATACACAATTCGTGAGGTCCAGTGCAAAAGGGAAATGCAAGCCCCTTGTTCAAAAATTATTAAGACTCTCAAGATGGCAACACGAGAACATTAAACCAAGCATGGGGCACCCTTGGGGGCGCTGGTCCCTTCGCACCTGCACAGATGGTGAGCCTTGTAGCCATCTGGTGCTGAGTTCTAGGCCCTGGACACACTTCACTCAGCCTCACCTTCACAACCACCTGTAAGGGGAGGGGTGCATGTAATAATAGACTGCAAACTCTAAGGAGCACCTACACATTCTCTATTTTTGGTGTAACAAATCTCGTTTGCAATAACCGGGCCAATGTCTAGGGCTTACAGAGGCTGTGGGTTGGGGAAGGATGAGGATCTTCTGATTCTATATGCTACGATGAGATTTGACTTGAAATCAAACAGTTCCTGATATGAGGGACCCCTGACCCCCATCATCCTTCTGCAGAGATGCTCTGAATGCAAAAAGAGTGGCGATGATGAGGAATGCACTGCAGAGAAGACTCACACATCCTGCCCCTTGGCTAACCACACAGACACGGCTATTCACGGGATCCGACAATGGCTCTCTGTGGTCTGCCTTTGCCATAATTTTTGCCAGGTTGCTGCTTATGTGCCCGTGAAGGATGAGTGAAGATACCACACTAAGGTGAACTGTCACCCGGGGCTGAGGACAATCTCAGCCTCACCAGACACTTACGGCTAGCATTCTCCAGCCGGACCAGGCAGTTGAGGAAGTCGTCAAAACCCAGCTGGAGCTCCTCGTCCGCATACCTGAGCACGACCAGCTGCAGGAGGTGGCTGCTCAGCTGAAAGCCTGTGGGAGGAGTGGGGAGACCCAGGGTACCGCATCTGAGCCCCTAGGTGAGTCTGCACCTCCGGGGAAGCTCCCAGTCAGCTAGGAGGGAACTGACCAAGGGAGCCACTGTCCACTCTGCAAAACCTCTGTCCCCAGGCCCGGGGCCTCTGTCAGGTTCGAATGCGGTGTGGGAGTGTGTCTGTGTTGGCGGGGCAAGGGTGCTGGTGAACTCACAGAACACTTTTGGGATTTAATGGCTTCTGAGTTGAATGAGTTTGTGGTCTTGCTTTTGACACCAACATCATCCACAGGGTCTGGCTTTTCGGGAAGCTTCGTTTGAGGGAACTCAATGCTGGATGGTGTCTGAGCCCCACACTCATCCCCACGCCAGCCTCCCTCACGCTGTCTGGGCTCCCGGCCTGCACACGTCCCTGATGGGCCTTGGAGGATTCCAGCTGTGGCACCCACAGTAGGTGGATATTTCTCAAGGGCATTTTTAACCCAAACGTACTGGAGGCCCTAGAAACGTTTCTCGGAAGGGATGCACCTCCCACAGGGAAAGCTACTGTGCCAGGGGCAGCCTGGGGAGGGCGACCACGGCTGTGTGCACTGGACACTGAGTCACAGGGACTCAGACTGCCAAGGCGGTCATTGACCGAGGGCCAGAAATGCCACCTGGGGCCCACCCTGCATGAAGGGAGCAGGGTAGAAACTACAACAACGTCACCCAGTTTGGATGCAGAGTCTGCTGCTGTCAAAGCCAGGGACAGGCAGCAGAGGGAAGCATGGAGTCCCCATACTACAGGCACAGGGATGTCCTGTATCATCTGTGATAACAACCCTCTGAGAGCAGAAATTTGAGGTTTGGAAGCACTGGCTTGTCACCAGAGAGTCACGCATAGTTCTGCTGGGCCAGAAAACGTGGCCAGAGGCCAAGAGGCCCCTGGGGTGGGGATGGGGCAGGCCCAGTTCATTCTTAGTGGATACATTTAAAAAATTCCCGCTGATGTGCGAGGTGGTTTAAGAGCAGGGCCCCGGTGTGAGCAAGCGAGTCCTGGGTCTGAGTCCTGGCATTGCCACTCAAAGGGCTGTGACATCACGAAACATCAGCTCAGCTCAGAGGCCACCTCTGCGGCTGTGGGGAGAAGACCTTCCTTGCCACCTGCTTGGTTGCCCAAGGCAGCACCTGGGGCTGGCCGGGCACAGTCAGCTGCCTACGTCCCAGGCTTCTCTTTACCTGCGGCTCTCAGCGCAGTCCGCAGCTCGTAGGAGGACATGGTGCCGGACCTGTCAGCGTCGAACTGAAGGAAAAGGTTCTGCAGGGGAAACAGAGGCATTGACAAGGAGAGTGCTTGGAAGGCAACATCTATGGCAGTGACTTGTGACAGCCTGCCTGGGAGGAGTGACCCCCCAGGGGCCCTCCAGAAGAATTTGGTCTCTCTTTTGTCTTCCTGTTCATTTTGGGAGGAAGCCTGGCAGTACCACTTCTGTGAGTATCAGAATTATGTCATGATGTCTTCCCTTCTCCCCTCTTGGAACACAACTCCTCTGTCCTGCCGTACTTCAGCCTTTTAAAATCCCCTCTGCCCTAGGCTCGTGGGGCCCCCAGAAGCCAAGCCCTGTGCCGGTTACATACGATCCACTGCTTCAGCCTGTCCCAGAACACTTTGAAGTCCCCGAAATCCAGCTTCCCGCTGCCGCTGGTCTGTGCCACCCGGGTTAAGGGAGATCTGAGCAGCATTTCAACCTGAGGCTCTTCGTGGGACCTCGGCTTTGGGACTTCAGAGGGGGAGGGCTGATGGGCTGGCCTGGGTGACACAGACCTGGGGACCTAGGGAGGTGGTTCTAGTGACTAAACCACGAATCTCTGAAGAGGGGAAATGGCAGTGGGGCTTGCCGTGGTACCAGAAGTTTCACAAAAACAGAACTCTTGGTTCCATTGGATGGGACCCGAAAGTGGCAACAAGATCCCCAAGTCCCTTCGAAAACCCTGCCCCCACTGGACAGTCCTGTGCCTCTTTGATTCTGATCCAATTCTAGCACTGGGGCCCCTCAGCTTTTGGTTCTCTTCTGTGAAGACGACTATCCTGCTGGTTAAGGATGTCACGTTCTCAGAAAGTGTGCTAGGGAACATCACTCTCCCATACTTAAAGCCCAGCATTGATGTCTATTTCTGCGAAAGTACGTGGAAGGATACATCCATTAGGGAAATGATGTTTTTACAGGAGATCAGGCTTAGCTTCTTGAATTTGATGTTCTTTTCTGAAATCACACATGAAAGCTGAATTGAGTGGACCCCTGATAAGATGAATGTCCCCACCTGCTGAAAGCCCAACAGTGTGGCTAAACCTGGGGTGGTGGGGGCTGTGATGGGACTGCTCTCACGATGCTGCTGGGAGTAGAAGTTAACATGGCCTTTCAGAAGGAAAATTGGCAAAATGTGAAAAAAGTCATAAAAATGGGAATATTCTGTCATCCATTTATTCTAGTTTTAAGAATCCCAAGTAAAGAATTACACATGGAGTTTTTTTTTATCATCAGGCTATTTATAATGGCAAAAAATTTAGAAATAGCCAGTGGAAGGTCATGGCCAGTACACTGGGCTGTGTTCACACAATGGAGTATTACACAGCGCTTAGGAATCATGTTTTGAAGCATAGTTAATGACCCGGGGAAATGCTCATGAAAGTTAAGTTTAAAGGTAGCATTTAAAATTGTCAGAAAAATCTGGACACCCTTATGCTGCTGGTGGAAATGTACAGTAGTCACCATGCAAAACAACTGGGCAGTTCCTTAAAACATTAAACACAGAGTTACCATGTACCCCAACAATCCTCTTACCACATACCCAAGAGAAATGAAAACACGTTCCTACCCAGAAAACTTATACACGAATGTTCACAGCAGTGTTATTCAAAATAGCCAAAAACTGGCAACAATCTAAATGCCCATCAATGGATGAATGAATAAACAAAATGAGGAATATTCATGGAATGGAATATTATTTGCCTATAGAAAGGAACGAAACACTGATACATGCCACAGCATGGAGGAACCTCGAAAACATCACGCAAAGTGGAAGAAGACAGTCAGAAAGGGCCACATGTTGCGTGATTCCTTGTATAAGAGATGTTCAGAGTAGATAAATCAAATCTACAGCAACAGAAAGTAGACTGGCGGTTACCTGGGGTCGGGGGCAATGGGCAGTGACTACTAATGGATACAGGGTTTCTTCCTGGAGTGATGCAATGTTCTAAAATTGTTGATGTGTGTGTATACACGCAGACTACACATGACATACGCGTACAGATACACACACGTCGACAGTGGTGATTTATGGTGGTGAGATTATTGGTGATTTTTATCTTTGTCATTAGGCTTTTCTGCATTTTTTAGAATTTTCTACCATGAACTTTCATCATATTTGTAATCGGGAAACAAACGATGAAAGCTATTTTAAAGTCTACCTACAAGTCGGCCCCGGGAAGTGGGTCTGCGGCTCTGAGGAGAAGGAGGCCGGGGAAGGCTGGAGGGGACCCAGGCAGCGTAGTCACTCATCCCTCCATGGGGGCCCTGGGATCCCCAGTGGGTGCAGCACTTACTCTTTTGCAGCACGGCATTTAGAATATATTCAAGTTCCTCTGCTGTCACCTCCATGTCCTGTTGAAGCGGAGACAATTGCTTTTTATGGCCTATGGCACCTTTTTTGGAGTTTCTATCAGTTCTGAGCTTGACTTGTCTCCACTAACAGACTGGCCCTCAGGATCCTGCTGTGGGCAGAAGCGCCCGTCCCCTGTGTCGCTGCAGCTACATGGCTCAGTATGCCCCACGTTTCAGGGACAGGCCAGCCCAACCAGGCACGAGCCCAACTCTCCCAGGATAGGGCCCAGCCCAGGAAAGTGCATGGAAAATTGGGCAGGTCAAGACAGTACTTGCCCAACATTCTCGAGGATAAGAACTACTTGTGGAATTGTTCATACAGTTCTCCAGATAGTTCTAATGTTAGAGGAATTTTGGGAAAACAGGTCTGAGTTTCTGAGCCTCTGCACAGTAGAATCGACTGGAGAACTTCAAAAAATTTCCACATCTGGGGCTTGCCCCAGGGACCCCTCAAATCAGACCTGGGAATATGGCTCACAGATTGTTTTTCAAACCTAGAGGTTTATTTAGGTTTAAAAGTGGAGTGAATTTCAGAGTCACTAAATCTCAGCACCCACAGCACAGAAGCTTCTTGGAAATGCAGAGTCTCGGGCCTTCCCCAGGCCTCATGAGCCCCCACTTTTCTCCATCCCGCCCTGTGGTCCCCACATCTCCCTGCCCTACCTGTTTATTGCAGTGCCCGAAATGCTACCATCAGACATTCACCCCCAGGTTTAGGTATCACCCTAAACATGAGTTAGTTTATCAGGCTTATTTTATTTATGGCTCCAAGGGACCACCTAAGGCAGCAGTCCCCAACCTTTTTGGCACCAGGGACTGGTTTTATGGAAGACAGTTTTTCCACAGACAGGGGTGGGAGTGGGGAGGTGGAGCTCAGACAGTGATACGAGCAATGGGGAGCGGCTGTAAATACAGATGAAGTTTTGCTTGCTCACCTCCTGCTGTGTGGGGTCCCCATCCTCCGCCCCAGGCCCCTGCCCCATTCTTAAGTTTCACAGATGACAATTTTTCCACGGACTTGGGGGCAGAGGGTCCCAGTGAAGTTCTGAGGCCCTGTCTGTGGCCTGGGAGTTGGGGACTGCAGACCTAAGGGACAGTTTCTAGAAGGAGGCTGCCCCATCCCCCACCAGGGGAAGGAAGACCCTGGAGCTATATGAGGGCTCCATCCAGGTCCCCCAGGAGCACCAGGGCACCCAACAAAGAAGCTGAGCAGTAAAGAGGGCTGGGAATGAGCTAGGGGCCAAGGACAGAAAGCTGCAATTGAAGAGTGGCTTCCCTGGACATCTCCACCTTTGACCAGAGCAGAGACAAGATCCTAATGGCAGTGATTTGGGGGCAGAGTCCAAAGAAGCCACCTCTTCAAGGCTTTGTCTAGCCTCCCAAAGAAAGCATCTGGGCTGGACCTGAGCTCCTTTGGGCTCTCTTGCCCCATCAGCAGAGGCAGACTGGTGTTGCGGAAGGGATGCTGGGAACAAGGTGGTCTTTGGGCCTCCAATGACCAGTGTAGACTAAAAATAAAATCCTAACCCCCTGCCCCCTTGCTGATTGAATGGGCCCCTTCTTGGCCAAAGGGGACCTAAAAAAATCTTAAAGCTGAGTTCCTGGCCATGAAGAAAAGGGAGGTCAGATCTGTTTCCTTATACCTCCCTTTGGTAGTTTAGCTACTACAACTGACCAGCGTTAATGTTAAAATAGAGATCATGAGACCGACAAAACAGACTCTGTGTGGCAATAAGGTACTAAATTATAAACAAGATGCAAGGCCACATAAGGCAGAGGTTAAGTCACACATGTAGGCCATCAATTTGCTTGACAGATCACTTTGAGTCAGTAGATTGTGGCTTGTTCTATGATTAGCAGACTTCCTTACTTAACTTAAAGCATTCCTTTCTACTGATTCCAAACTTTTAGACAAAGCTTCATTTCTTTAACCAACTGCAAACAAAAAAGTCTCTGAACCCACCTATAACCTGTAAGCCCGCACTGCCCCTACTTTGAGATGTCCTGCCTTTTTGGGCCAAACCAATGTATACCTTCCAGGTATTGATTTATGATCTTACCTGCAATTCCTGTCCCTAAAATGTACAAAACCAAACTGTAGCCCGACTGCTTAGGGACCACTTACTCAAGGCTTCTTGGGTGTGGCTCCCTGGGCTGATGGTCACTCACGTTGGGCTCAGAATAAACCCCTTTAAGTTATTTTACAGAGTTTGGTTTTCTTCTGTTAATATCAGGGCTGGTGTTACGGTTCCAACATGCCTCAGAGAGCCACTGCTGACCAATCCCACGACTACAATCCTCTGCTGAGAGGCCAGGCCCAGTGGGGAGACGAAAGCCGGGCACACCCTACCTCACCAGCGACGTGTTCAAACAAAGCCCGAAACTGCTGCTCTTCCTCTGTCTCTTGGGCAGGTGGAGTTGGCTTTGGAGGCTGAAAAATAACCAAAGGAACTTGCACAAAAAGACACATAAAAAAGAAACCTGACAAAAATAGCAGAAAAGGGTGACATGGTCCTGTGCCCAGACCATGTCACCCTCTTGATGTGGTGTGCAGGAGTCTTGTAAAGGCTCTTTAGAAAGTGAGACCTAGGCCAGGTGCCGTGGCTCATGCCTGTAATCCTAGCACTCTGGGAGGCCGAGGTGGGAGGATCACTTGAGCCCAGGAGTTTGAGGTTGCTGTGAGCTATAATAACTTCACTGCACTCTAGCCGGGATGACAGAGCAAGACTCTGTCTTAAAAAAAAAAAGAAAGTGAGACTTCATCAGCTGGACTCACGGGGCCCTCCTGCCTTGCAAATGAGAAGGCTAAAGGAAGCCTGACCCCTGCCTAAGTTGGGGTCCTTGCCACGAGGTTGTCATGCTTCCCCCACTTCCTCTGTATTAGCTCTCACCACCTTGGATCGGAAGTACTTGCTTAATCATCAGTTTTGATAGGTGGTAAAATCTTTGAGGGCAGGAGTCTGTTTATAGTACCTGGCCCTGGGCCTGGGTTATGGAAAGAGCTCAGTAAATGTTTTGGGTGATTTGGGGGGAATTTTTGTGTTTTTTTGGCACCATTAAATAAACTGCATTCTAATACAGAACAGCAATTTTCTTTCTAAAAACAGGTCTCTGAGACCCTGGACACGTCAGACTGCTCTGGCCACCTCCCAGTACCTCTTGGGGGTCTTACAGCCCTTGGACAAGGACAAAACCAACCCTGTCTCTTCCTCCCCACACAGACACAGTATGTGGGAGACATAATGTGTTCCCCTGAGTCCACAGTAAAAGAATCCACCTGCCTCTCTCATTTTCTTTTTATTGATTATTTTTCTTAAATAAAATACATTTAGAAGATATGCCATCCCCTTCAGAAGCAGCAGCTGGCTCTCAGGTGGAGTTGGCAGCACAGAGAGATGAACCAATCAGAGCTTTACACCAAGTACCAACCTTGTTCCCATGCCAGCTTCCGCTGGGACTCGAAGGACACAGACTGGCACACACGAATCTTGGGCACCAGGAGGTTAGAATCACAGGTGCTTACCTGGTCGCACTAACCGTTTCCTGACCTTCACAGTTTTAAATGGCAGTGCGGTTAGAAGGAAGGTGCCCGCACCATCGGCGGAAACCTGTCCTCCACGCAGCACCGGGAGACTCACCTCAGGAAGGTCGATGTCTACGTTTCCATCCAGATCCCTGTAGGGGAGGAAAACGCACAGCCTCAGTTGCGGATTCACTTCTTATTGGGACCTGCGGCACTAAAGAGCCAGAGCTTTGGAAGGGTCTGTCCCACGGAAGCTCTTCTTGTTCAGTGCTGCTGACATTTCGCGGGTTTGCAGACCCCATGCACGGACACCCCCGCCCCTAATCGCTCAGACCTTGCCTGGCGTTCACATAAGAAGGAGACAAGGGTAGACACCACCAAAGAGAACGTGCAAGTTCTGGATGTATAGAACTAGAAGACGTTAAAGCAGCAGTAGCTCCCTCTTTCCTTGGTGCCCTTTAACAAGGGCTGCTGCTGACGTGCTATAGACAGGGCGGTTTCATTACGCACCTGCCCTGCACGAGCTCTGCGTCTGCGCATTCCCTGGACACCATTCATTCGGCCTGCTGAGTGGTAATCCCTGGGAGGGGGTGAGTTTTTAAAGATTTCAGAGTAAGTTGAGTCAGAACCCAAAAGACCACCCTTTGAAGCTGTTGGCCCTTCCCGGGGGAGGTAAATCCCTTATTCCACTGGAGGGTGGGGGAAGGCCAGGCGTTTGTGCATTTAGGTTTGGGAAAGAGAGGGAAAATGATGGAAACGTGTTCGTTTTGCTGTTCACATAGTTAGTGGTACCCGCGGTGTTTGGAGAGCAGTAATAGTAAAAGGAGCAGGCTTCAGCTTTTGCTGATGCTAAAAACATTTGGAGGAATCTAATCATATGGATTAAAACCTAAGCACTCCCAAAGAACTACTGATAGAAACTCAAAGGGAATACAAACAAACAAACGCTAAGACTGAACCAGGGTAGCCTCCTTCCCCTCCTCATCCCCACGGGCACACGCAGCACACGCAGCACAGTCCTTTGGAACTTCTGTTTGATCAGGTCCCTCGCAGAGAGCCAAACCAATGGAAAACAGAGCTTGGTGTGGGTTTTCTGCTGCCCAGCTGCAGAGCTGATTCTATGCTTATATCATAGCAGATTATCTCGTTCAGGGCAAGCCTGGGTATGGAGTTAGCTTTGCCATGTATAAGCCACCCTATAAATGCTGAGAACTTTGAATGCACCCCATTAATGGAACAGAGAACAGGAAGCACGGGACTGGCATAGGCTGTACTCTCTCTAGTTCTTGCCACCCGTGAGAGATGGCATCTGCATGGATCTCGCATGGGGTGTGCTGTGTGAACAGTTATTGGAAAATTCATCCTCAACTTATGCTGTATCTGGGAGAAGGCTGGAGAAAAATTCTCCGACAGAGTATTTAAATATTAAAGACTTTACTGCTTCTATTTAGCCATGAGAAAGAACCACGCCTTTGTAAATAACCTGGAAACCCAAGCAGAGTTTGTATATGGGAGTTTTCTGAATGCAGGCCTTCCACCCAGCTCTACCTCACCAAACAGGAGATAAAACTAGAGCAGGGGCCGGGCGCGGTGGCTCACGCCTGTAATCCTAGCTCTCTGGGAGGCCGAGGCGGGCGGATTGTTTGAGCTCAGGAGTTCGAAACCACCCTGAGCAAGAGCGAGACCCCGTCTCTACTAAAATTAGAAAGAAATTAATTGGACAACTAAAAATATATAGAAAAAATTAGCCGGGCATGGTGGCTCATGCCTGTAGTCCCAGCTACTCGGGAGGCTGAGGCAGGAGGATCACTTGAGCCCAGGAGTTTGAGGTTGCTGTGAGCTAGGATGATGCCACGGCACTCTAGCCCAGGCAACACAGTGAGACTCTGTCTCAAAAAAAAAAAAAAAAAAAAAAACTAGAGCAGGCCATGTGTTCACAGCTGTTCTTCTCTTGTTAACTCTTGTAGGTTGGTGCTTTGTTAGGGATTTATCTGCTTAAATACAGAATGAGTAGATTTTTACCATGCTCTGCAATCTTTAGAATACCATTGTTAGGGAAAGAAACAGATTCTTCTGTCCCGAACCATGGTTTCCCTCCACCACAGAGCAACCAGTGGAGAATGGGCAATAATGAGAAATCCTTTCCAAAGAAGTTACTCATACAAAATAATTTTGCTCAGACACAGCAAGGAAGAGCTGGCAGAATGTTGGGTATGTAAAATGATAGGCAGACTTAAAAACATTTATTTAAACCGGAGCTGAAAGAACATGTCATTCTTGGAATTTGCAGTAGCCACCCCCTTCATCGTGCACAGAATTAAGTCTACATGCAGCTCTTACTCCAGAAGCTTCTTGGTAATAGGGTCTGAAAAATGCAAGGCTCCACCCCAGGGTGTCTTGTGAGCGTGACTCTGGGACCAGGAGGAGAGAGTGACTTTTTTTTTTTTTAGTGGTTTGCTTGAGGGAGGGAAGAGCTGAGCTACAAGGGAAGTGTGCCCTGCTTTGCAAACAAGCCACCAACCTGTCCTGCTTTGTTTCTCAGGTAGATCGAGGAAAAGAGAAGAATGGGGTCTTGGCTCCAGCAGTCCCCAGGTGACTTCTGTGTGACTAAGCCACCAAATGAAGAGGGATTCTGAAACCTGTTCCCATGACTCACCGGGTAATGGCTTTCTTCTCCGAAAAGATTCTCAGACAGAAATCAGCTTCCTGATGGGGCTCGAAAGTGCTGGGGATCACGACGTACTCCCCAGGGGGCAGCCTGAAGCGGTCGGAGACCTCTCTCAGGTTGATGAAGGTTTTGCTCCGGGCCTGGGAAGCGTGGTATCTGAAGAAGTCCTTGTCCAGGTGTTGGTCTCTGCCAGGGCACTGCAACGGAAGAGTGGGGAGGGATCTCTAGGGAGGCCATTCGTCTCGGCTTTTCCGACACAGCTGGGGACTGGCCACTGCGTCTCAGGCATGAGGCCGAGGAGGAGCGGAGGATTTAGAACACAGACAGAGGACTCTGAGGTGCAGTTTGGTTGCCACCAACCTGGTAAATGGCATAGCCGATGGTCAACACGTCGGCACCAAATCTCTTGAGCTTCCTTCGGTCCTTCTGCATCAGGGCTACGAGGAAGGTGCACTCTTCCTGCCCCTCATCTCTTTCAGTGAGGGACAGTTTTATTTGTGGGTTGGTCCAAAAGGTATCTGCCATTAGAAAGAGGTACATTATCTTCCCTTCCTTTAAACAAACAAACACACACACGAAGGACACACACACACACCTGTCACCCAAACACGAGGAAATAGTTTCTTCTCCCCCTGCTCCGTTCAGACCTCTTGCTCTACTTTCTAGAAGCCCCAGTGAGAATGCAAGTGTCCTCGCTTTCATTTCTACCTTCTTTTGAACCATTTCCCACACAGCCTTTTGAAGACATTCTTTCTGGGTCTAGTCTACTCAAGTTTGTTCCAGCTTATTTTTTTTTCCATTGGTATTTTGAAGGAGAGTGTAGTGGACTTCGTCCTGCTAGCATCTATTTAATGATGGGTGACTTGAGTAGAATGAACCTCACTCCCAGCTCCAAGGGCGAACTCTGACTGGTCCACATCAGCCCCTCTTGCCACAGAGCACTGGAACAAAGCTAATTGGCCCACTGCATGCACCAGCAATACTGGTTCAAGGAATTTCCAATTAGAGGGAAGGGAGGACTTTTGTTTGATGACCCCTAGGAGCTCTTGCTGTTCATGTGAATGAACCTCAGGAAACCCTAAATGCTGCCGGCAGCCTTCCTGTGATAACAAAGAAAGCCAGAGGCAGGAAGAAGTCAATGCAGAAAAGAAGGCGGAGCAGAGTATTACCAAGAAATGAAGCCAGAGCCCTAATAGAACTGTGCCTGAATCCCACCCTGCTTTTCCTCTGAGCTTTTCAATTATGTAGGACAATAAATCGTTTTTATTGCTAAACTGGGGTAAGTTGTGTTTCTATTATTTGTAATAGAAAATAACCTAAGTGGTAAAACAAAGGAGTTTCCTTGAGCAATTCTTATTCAATTACCTACTAAATCTCTGCAGCCTTCTTTTCCTAGTGGTTTTTGGAATCCTACTGTCTGAGTTTATGTTTCAGGTTTTCCTGAGGGTCCTGGACCGGATCCTTTGATGTCTCCGGCTTAGACTGGACACTGGGGAATGGCAGAAAGAGTGACAGACAGACTACCTACCCAGGAAATTGCGGCAGCCCCCGGCCGTGGAGCCCCGGACCCAGCTCCCCTGATGGACCGTCACCTCCCATTTGTGGACAGCATCCTCCTCCAGGGCGTCGGGAGTGAGGTTGCAGATCTCCACTTTGTCAAAATGGGCCTTGAAATCCTTAAATGCCATCCTGTAACAAAGCAGAGAGACACAATACACGGGGGGTCGACAGCGATGGCATCAAGCATCCGTCCATCCATCCATCCATTCAATCATCTAACCCCTGTACTCAAGGAGTGGGGAGGCCTCATGGTGTGGGAGATAGAAATTTTTTTAAAAAAGGTAAAATAAAGGTGAAAAATGTTGTAAAAATGTAAAAATATATGTTGATTGTATATGATAATAGCTACAAAGAAAAGTCAAATTGGGCTGAAGGACAGGAGTGTAGAGGTGGGTGTTAGTTTAAGCAGGGAGGTAAGAGAAGGCCTTACTGATGCAGCCCGTTGTGAGTGGGGACCTGAAGTACCAGGTACTGGGCGGAGCAGCTCTCCAAGGGTTCCAGCAGATGCACAGCAAGGGCCTGAGGCAGACAGGTGCTTGATGTGCTCGTGGAACACCAAGAAGGCCATTGAGGCTGGCATGAAGCATCAGTAAGGGATCTTGTCTGGATGAGATCCAGGGGTAAGGGTGGGTCAGGTAGGTATAAGGACTTTGGCTTTGATTCTGGGAAGATCAAGAACCACTGGAAGGTGTGACACAGAATGACATGATCTATAGCTGCTGTGTTGAGAACAGACATCAGGGGCCCAGGTAGCAGCAGAGAGACAGCCAGGAAGTTAGTGCCATCATCCAGGTGAGACATAAGGATGGCTCAGTCCAGGCTGGTGGCAGGGGAGGTGGGGAACAGAGGCCAGATTTGAGACATTTTCTGAAGGTAAATCCTACAGGGTTTGCTGACAGACAGGATGTAGGGAACGAGAGAAAGAAAGGAGTCAAGATGTTCGGTTTGAGCCACTGGAAGGACAGAGACGGGGCAGGCTGTGGTGGAGAAGTTTGGGAGGGAAGCTTGGGGGTGCAGGTCTGGACACGTTCATCTGAGACACCTGTTAGGTATCCAAGGGGAGGTGCCGAGTAGACAGCTGAATTCCCCGGAATTCCAGGGAAAGGGGCCAAAGACAGAAACCTGGGAATTATCCATGTAAAGATGGTCTTTAAAGTCACAAGACCGGATGAAATCACCTAAAGAGTGGGAGAAGATAGTGAGGAGCTTTGGGGCACCTCAACGGGAACAGGTCAGGGGGATGAGGAGGGGCCAGGACGTTGAGAAGGAGCCCTGGGAAGGAGGAGGACCACCAGAGCATGAGTTCTCTGCAATCCGGGGAGCACAGTGCCAGCGTGTCTCATGCTGCTGACGGATGAAGATGATTAGATGTGGCCAAGCGAGAGTCAGTGGTGTCCGGGCGAGAGCAGGGTGGATGGGGCCACCCACAGTGGAGTGGAGTCGGGAGAGCAGGGAGGAGAGGAGGGGCTGGATCAGTCATGTGAATGGGTCAAGAGAGGCTTTCTTTTCCCCCTTGAAGGTAGGAGAAATGATAGCATTGGAACACTGAGGTGGGTGATTCGGAAGATAGGGGAATTCGTAAGTAAGGGGAGAGCAGGGAGTTGCAAGGGTCACGCCTGAGAGGGGGTGAAAGATGGAAAGAGACTGGAAGGGGCTTCGGAGTCCAGACTCTGGGAGGAAGGGCTCTACGCACGGAGTGCCGGCCACACGGCACAGGCCCCCGTGCGGTTTCGGGCCCGGCATCAGGGGCAGAGGGGTAGGCAGTGGGCCATCCACAGGGACGCTCTTCTCTGCTGAGCCTCCCGCTCTGGATTTCTCAGTTTCCTCTACCTGACTTCTTCTGTGCTACACCTCCCCTCTACTCGCTTGTTTCCTCCCCACTTCGGTCTGTATTTTCAGGTACTCTCAGGGAAGCTGCCTTCAAAAGCCCCTGCCACCACGTTGGGCACAGAGGGCATGGACCCTGTGGGCAGCAGGGCTGTCTTAAAGTTCACTATGCAAATGCGGGTGGCAGAGGGCTCAGAGGAGGGATGCTGGGATGGAGACCAGGGCTCTGCCCTACATTGCCTGGACTACACTAACTCCCTCGAGACTCAGACAAACCTAGAGAAGGGGTGAGTCCCTGCCAAAGCATGATTGAGATTAAATTTCCTGTCAACCAAGGTGGATAGGAGGGGTTTGAGGCAGATGTATTCGATCTGCCAAAAAAAGAACGAAAGAGACGTGGTGCTCCTTATGCCCCAGGGGCACGGGGCTCACAGCTGTTACGCAGTTAATACAAAGGTGAAAGCAGAGACGGGCACTGTACCAGAATTCCCCGTCATCGAGAGCAGCGTGACACAGGCGCTTCTGCTCAGCTGGGCTGACGGAAAGCCACTCGGGAGAACTAGGAGGAAACAAAGTTGGCGTTTAGGCAGAGGTCGCGAAGAGCAACACTGGCCTTGGTGCGGGGGGACGGCCGTCCCCGGGAATCCACAGTCTGCAGCGACGGAGGAAATAGGTCCTGCTCAGTGACTGCTCACTGGGCCCCAGAAATGCGCCCAGCGATGCAGAGGCTGGTGAGCTGTTGGTCCCCAGAGATGAGGACTGGTCAGAAAATACATGTCCTAGTGCTGCTGATGGAAAAAAGATCCCTTGGAACCATTTGAACCACCTACATAGATTGTCATGGGACAATCGCAAGGCATTGAATGCCGGTGGAGTAGCAGAAGAGCCCAGCTGGAAGACACAAATTGACTGACTTTTGTACCTTAGCCTCCAACTTGCTAGGTGACCTGGAGCAGTGCCTGACACCTGTTCTCTCAGTGTATAAGCCGACACTGTGAAAAGTGACAACAATACCTAGTATTTGCCCATGCTTGACGTTTTATGTCAAGGCACCTTCTTTACGTGGCCTCTTTAGGAAGTCAGGTAGGGTTCCGTGAGCCGGGCACACTTGTCCTGACAAGGGGGCTCGGGTAGGCCGTGGACACCTGCTCAAGGAAGGGCCAACAAGTGAGTGGCCACCCATCGCCCTCCAAACTCAGGAGCTGTGACTCAAAGTTCTCTGCATTTTCTATAACCCCCAGAGTTGTCTCCAAATAGTTCAAATTACGTCACCGCTGTTGTGGTGCTACAACCAAGGTGGCAGCTTCGTTGGCCACACGGTGCCTTTGCCCTGCTTGCGTGTGACCAGCAGCCCGGAAGCCTCGTGGGTGGGAAACAAGCTTCTTGCCAGTTTGACTCCCAGTCCAAATGCACTTTCTTCATGTCTACCTCTGTGTGAATTCCAGCAAAGAAGAGAAAATGGTGACCCTTTTTTCTTTTATAGACTGCTGTCTCGAAATCGAGGGCCACCACATGTCTTACGACACGATGTAGTCCCATTGGTCTTGGTTTCAGCATTTCTGTCCTTTCCACTTCTGCCAGGAGACGGAGACCGATCTCTTCCCTCCTTTGACCCAGCTCTGGTCTGAATCCGTCTCTGCCAGTGCACTTTGGTTCTGAGGTGGAAGCTGAGGCCAAGGCTGGGCATGGCGGGACAAGAGCCTCGATGGGGATGGTGGCAGCCTGAAAAGTGCGTGCCTGTGTGCACTGCCCTCACAGCAGGTTCGGTCAATAAGATGGGGTTGTGCCCATGTTTGGTGACCTGGTGGCTTTGTCTGGACTGGGGACAGACACCGGCTCAGTTTTACCCAAGTTCTAGACTTGCTTCAGACACCTCCCCAGAATCGCAGGAGCCCTGGGTGGGGCAGGGAGGGACTGCAGGGGCCCAAGGCAGTAGGGGAGGCGTGACAGCCCTGGGTGGGCCCTGCCACACACCCACCCAAACATCTGCAGTTCCCAGCCACCTGGGCCACTTACCAAGGGACCAGGGCTGGGGTGAGGGGGCATACACAGAAAAGGCAGACCTTTCTTTATAATTGGGAGCCAAGCAAATGGCCCTGGTTAGTGGCTCTGTAATGGACATTTCCAATCCCACCGCCGCCACTTCTCTGCTGGGCTGCGGAGCCTCAGCCAATGGTCAGTGACCGTCAGAGAGAGCCCTACCTGCCTGGCAGTATTGCAGGAGTTCTCACCTCCGAAATACTCATGGCCACTCCACCCACCCAAAACACACACACACATGTACATATGTGAACACACACTGACTACTGGAGCTACTTGTGCCTGGCGATAAAGCCTTTCACGGTATCATGGGGATATAGAATATCGCCCCGGGAGGCAGTACACTGATGGACATAAACACAAGTCTGTGAAGGTTAAAGAAGGTTAGGGAGCTGTTGCAAAAGTCTTTCTTGAGAATCAAGGTTGGCTGCAAGGTGGGCCCCGAGGGCTGAAAGGGGAGGAAGTAAGGCCACCCCGAAGCAGGACAGGACCCTGAATCAGAGGCTGGGGAGAATTGCAGACAAGCCACTCCTCCCTCACATGTCTGCGTAGGCCAGCCCTGGCCCCCCACGAGCTGGGAACCAGCCAGAGAGACAGGATGGGGCCACTGACCTGTCACTCCATGACCCGTTCCACTCCACCTGGCCCCAAGGGTTCCGGACTCTGATGAGCTCAATTTTCTGGCCTCGGAAGTTTACCTGGAAGGGAAAAAGCATGAGGGACATGTGAAAGGACAAATATGGTGGAGGTTTGGCCACAGTCATCCAGGGTGGTTCGTCTCCATCCAGGGCTGGCCTTACCAAAACCCTGTTGGCTAAAACGAAAACACTGCTGGAGATACACAAACGTTCATCAATTCTTAAGTAGCCCTTGGAACTTGCTAATCTTTGTTGAATATAAATGCAAGCGTTGCCAATGATATTATATTATTAACATCACCCCAGATTGGTTGTGCCATATCTGAGGAATAAAGTAGGATTGTAATTAGCAAGAAATTAGTCCACATGAATCTTCAAACAAAAGAGTTTTCTCACTAGACTGGGGTCTCCCCAGAGGCAGGGCCAAGTCTTATTTATCTACGTATCCCCAGTATATAGTTCACTCAGTAGTAAAGGGTAGTCCTCAAAAGTGCGTGGAACTATCATGGAACTTCCTTCATCCTAGTGTCCTACTCACAGGTGAATGATAAGAAAATAAACACATGCTGGGAATTTTAAAAACAATAAATAAAAGTAGTTTCGAAGTCTTCTAAATTCAATATTCTCTTAGTTTCAGGTGTCTGTGAAGATCCCTGCTGTCTGAATGGATAACCCGGGAGGCAGGGTACCTTCATGCTCTGCCCCAGAGCAGGCAAGAGGGCCAATGAGAAAGGTTTGGGAGGAGAAAGAATGAAAATAAAAGACTTTTATTCATCCACTAACCAGAAACTTTAGCTAACAGAACACTTTATCCTCATGCATTGGGCATAAATTGTATTTTTGATGTGTAAAAATAATTTGAGTAATATCAACTCTGCAGAGTCCAAGGTGTGGCTTATGGTTCACCAGCTAAGAGGCTCATTGGTTTGAAGTGTTCAGGGAAGGTAAGTTTCTTGCAGGTGGAGAGAAAACAAAGGCAATTAAACCAAGATGATGGGAGGTTTCTATTGTTACTTGGAATGATATTTAGAAAATCTAACAGGAAAAATCACACGCCCACTCAAGTGAGTGAGTGGGAAGGCATCTATGGACAGGGAAGGAAGAAGAAAGGAAATATTCCAGTACAAATAGCTGAAATTCTAAAGGATCCCAAAGAATCCAGCTGCAGCTCACACCTTGGCCCCAGTGAGGACAGGGCCTCCCTTCTGTGCTCTTTGCTCCCCATGCATTCGGAGTATGTCACTCAAAATGTGGGTGGGGACAGAAGGCCAGAGGCGCCTGTGCCCTCTGCAGACTGGACGAAGACTTGCCAGGCCAGGGTGGAGAGGGAAGAGGAGGGCCTCTGTGCTTTGCTGAGCTTGGGCCTGGGAGGGGGAAGCTCAGGCTTCTTGTCTTCCTTTTTCCTCCCATTCTCTTCCCTCCTCTCTCCCTCATGTCCCCCCAAAGATCTCCCCTTCTAACCAGCCACTTGCTAGAGGTCAAGGTGGTGCTGTGTGGGGTCTGGGTGGCCCCAGGGATTAGTTCCACCCCAGGCTTCAGCTGCAGAGAATGGGACTTGTGAGTGCTAATTTTATGTGTCAACTTGACTGGGCCACAGGGTGCCCAGATATTTGCTTAAAGATCGTTCTGGTTGTGTCTGCAAGGGTGTTTCTGGGTGAGATGAGATTTAAATTGGCAGACTGAGTAGAGCAGGTTGCCCTTCCCAGTGTGGGTGGGCCCATCCCATCTGCCGAAGACCTGAACAGAACAAAAGGGCCGAGGGAAGGAGAAGTCACTCTCCAGCTGGGACATTGGTCTTCTCCGGACCACAGGCTGGGACTTCTGCTGTAGTGACCCTGGTCCCCAGTTGTTCCCTTCAGACTTAGACTGGAGCTATGCCATGGGCTCTCTGGGTCTCCAGCCTGCAGACTTCAGATCACGGGACTGCTCAGCCTCTGCAATGGCGTGAGCCAATGCCATGTAGTAAGTCCATCACAGTTGGCCCTCGAACAATGTGGGGGTCAGGGGTGCTGACCGCCTGCACAGTTGAAAAATCTGTGTATAATTTTTGGCTTCCCCAAATCTTAACTACTAATAGTCTATTGTTGACTGGAAGCCTTAATGATAACTAGTCGATTAACACATACTTTATATGTTATGTGTATTATACACTGTATTCTTACAATAAAGTAAGCTAGGAAAAAGAAAATGGTATTACAAAAATCATAAGGAAGAGAAAATATGTTTCCTATTCATTAATTAGAAGTGGATCATCATAAAGGTCTTCATCCTCCTCATCTTCAAGTTGAGCAGGCTGAGGAGGAAGACGAGGGTTGGTCTTGCTGTCTCAGGGGTGGCAGAGGCGGAAGAACATCCACCTCTAAGTGGACCTGTGCAGTTCAGACCCATGCTGTTCAAGAGTCAGCTCTCTCTATCTCCTCCTAGTGGTTCTATTTCTCTGACAAATCCTGACTAGCATAGGACTGATGTGGAATTGGGCAAGAAAAGAACTAAAAAAACCAAAACAAAAAAACAAAACAAAGACCAGGCTCCCAAGCCTGCTAAACAAGTCTGGTGCTGTGGTAGAAGCACATGGTTTCTCTCTTTCCCTTTCTCTTGCTGTTTTGATTTCCAGCCTGCCTCCTTTAGATGAGATAGTCACCGAAGTGTCTGGAAGACAGACATTTAAACTGCCAGGCACTAAATAAGTGCCTGAGGGACCCGCATTGTCAAGTCCCTCCCTGTCCCCTGCAATGGGGTGTATTTCGCCTACCTGGTCAATTCCTGTCACGGTGTAGGCATGACCCTTGATGAGACCAAAAGGCGTCCGGGCTTCAGACTCTGTGGCATTTCTGGTCTAAAACGTCAAAAGGGCAGCATCAAGAGCATGTGCAAGTCAGGCCCCACGACCTGACCAGCCCAAGCCCCACGCTGGTCACGTCACATCCTGCACCCTCATCTCCCTCAGACGATGGCCATGTGCACGGCTACGTAAATCCGGTTCACGGGACTCCCCTCGGAGGTTTAGCAGTGACATACAGCAAGTCCCCGTCCAAAAAAATAGACCCCCCCCCCAAGGTTAATCCAACAGGAAACAGAAAACTTGAATAGATTTCAAAAAAACAGAGGGAGGTGAAATTATATGTGCGTTTGTATGCATAGAGAAATTTGAAAAAAAAAAATACTGTTAGATTTCTATCTACTGATTTGATAGATTTTTTTCATGGTATATGAAGTGAAAAAAAACCACCTTTCAGAAAACTGTACAGTGAGATTGCATTTTAGTAAAATCAAAGCAACCTCCCCTGTGTGTGTGTATGTGTGTCCGCATGAGCACGGAGGGGGCTGTGCCAGGTCGGGCCAGGTGGTCCCAGTGTCAGGGGTGGCCCCGGAGGGGCAGCCGCACAGGAAGTGGTGGGGGGAGATAAAAACGTGCCTTTAGATGTCTCAGGATTTGCCCATATCTTACCTTTGTGATTCGAAAAACAGTAAATAAACATTTGTGTTTTAATTAAAAGAAATAGACATGCCCCCCCCAATGGTTACTCCCCTCCTCGGGTGTGGCCAGGGCACCAGGGCAGACCCTGCCTGGAGTGCGCCAGCTAGCACTTACATCGATGGAGCAGCTCAGCAGCGAGCCCCTGTGCAAGGCCTTCTCTAGAATCTCATAGAAGTTCTCTGGGGCCTCTTTAGTCAGGAAGGTCTCGGCCACACCGCCAGTGAAGTCTTCCATGGCCTCAATGGCACTGCCGCCCTTCAGGGCCTCATAGCTCCCGTTCAGCCTGCAGGGGCGGCAACAGAGCCGGGGCTGCGGCAGGGCCGGGGCAGGCCACCAGGGCACGCCCTGCAGACACGTTTTTCCAACCGAGCCCAAACCGTTCCCCAGTGAAGGTGCAGAAGGAACAGGGAGGAGAGAAAGGATCAGGGTTTGCTTGGTGCTCTGAGGAAGTGAAAGACCCAGAGCTCCCTTTGAGGGAGGCCCTGCAGTGTGCTGGTACACAGCAGGAAGCTGGGCTCTGATGGGCTGCAGATTCGAATCCTAGGGCTGTCACTTATAGGCTGAAAGACCTTGGGCCAAGTCGCCTTATTCAGTGCCTCAGTTTTCCTCTTTGCAAAATGGGGCTGGCAGTTGTGCTCTCCCTCCCAGGACTGCTGTGAGATTTATTTTATGTATGTATGTATGTATCTATCTATCTACCTATTTGGTGTGCTCTTCATATTTATGAATTTATTTATTTATTACAACTCCTTTTTTTCTTTTTTGTGGAGACATTTCTGCTCTGTTGTCCCGGCTAGAGTGCAGTGGTGTCATTGTAGCTCAAAACTCCTGAGCTCAAGCAATCATGCTGGCTCAGCCTCCCGAGTAGCTGGGACTATAGGCATGTGCCACCATGCCCGGCTAATTTTTCTATTTTTTGTAGAGACGAACTCTCACTCTTATTCAGGCTGGTCTTGAACTCCTCAACTCAAGCGATCCTCTCGCCTTGGCCTCCCAGAGCACTGGGATTGCAGGTGTGAGCCACAATTCTTTATTTTTTAATTGTATGTATTTAAGGTGTATAATCTGTTTTGATATGCATACACAGAATGAAATGATTACTACAGTCGAGCAAATGAACATGCTGTGAGGTTTAACGCACGTGTCCCACCCTGTCGTCTCACATGGAATGGGGCTGGCCACGATGACGATGTTAGAGTCAAGGGCCTTTTTGTTCCTTTCTGGTCTCACATACTCCCAGCCACTCATTTTTGTTCACAGTCATCTCTTTTATTCACATGCATTTTGGTTTTTTAATATATATGCGCTCTTTTTGAATTTTTAAATAAACTTTTCAATTTAGAACAGCTTGAGATTTATGGAAAAATGGTACGGCGTTCTCATAACCTGTCACCCAATTTCCTTTCCCTTTAACATCTTACCTTAGTACGGTTACATTTGTTACAATGACTGAGCCGATACATTATTATCAGCTAATGTTCATAGTTTATTCAGGTTTCCTTGTTTTTGCCCAAGGTCCTTTTTCTGTTCCAGGATCCCACGCCGGACACCATATTGCACGAAGTCGTCTTGTCCCCTTAGACTCTTCATGGCTGGACAGTTTCTCAGACCTTGTTTGTTTTCAATGACCTTGACAGTTTCAAGGAGTCCCATTAGGCATGTTGCAGGATGCCCTCTTTTGGAATTCGTCTGACATTTTTCTCATGGCTATCCATTTGGGGGAGGAAGACCAAAGATGTAAAGTGCCTCCTCATCGTACCACATCAGTGGTACATCCTATCCACATGACTTTCCACTGTTGATGTTGGCCTTGATCACCTGGCTAGGGCTGTGTTTGTCAGATTCTCCACTGAAAAGTTGCTCCCCGTTCCCCTTTCCACACTGTACCCCTGGGAAGGAGATCACTTTGTGTGGCCCACGTTTAGGGGATGGGGAATTATGCTCCCCCTCCCTGAGGATGGAATGTATACATCATTTATTTGGGATTATTCTGCACAGGACATTTGTCCCTTCTCCTCCATTTATTCAATCACTTATTTAAATCAATGTAAACTTATTGGTATTTATTTTCTACTTGGGTTCATAATCCCCTACTGCTTTATTTATTTTGTTGGTCAAATTGTTCTAGCTTTGGCTGTTTGAAGCTCCTTCAGTTGGCTCCTGTGTCCCCTTGACATAACCCCATCTGTGTGTGTGCTGCGTGTGTGTGTGCTGTGTGTGTGTGCACTGTGTGCTGTGTGTGTGTGCTGTGTGTGTGCACTGTGTGCTCTGTGTGTGTGTGTGCTGTGTGTGTGTGCATGCTGTGTGTGTGAGTTCTCACTTTCTGGCACTGTAAGATGCTCTAGTCTCATTTTATGTCTTTCCTGTCCCTGTCCTAGAATCAGCCTTCTCTCCAAGAAGAAGGAGAGTGATCTTAGAAACCAAGACCTGAGAGGTAGGTGTGCTTGTTGCTATGGAGCTGTCCTTACTTCTAGGTCCTCTCGGCTGGCAAAGCAAAGAGACATATGTGTGTATGATAACCCATGTGCATATGCATATGTCTGTATGTCACATGTCTATTAAGCCACACCAAGTTCTTGCTGGTGCCTCCGCCTCTCGTGCATCATCACGTGCATCATTCTGGCCTCCTCCCCTTGCCTGTCTGCAACCTCCCACTCTAACAGTGAGAAATCTGCTCCACCATCCGCTTGCTTGATTGTCCAATTCATGTATGATTGTATTGGAATTGTTCCCTTGTTCCCCTAAGAGAAACAACTTTATCAACTAGAGCACAAGAGCACAATGCTCATGTACAATTTCTTTTGCCTTTAGTCTTACAGCCCCCATTCATTTCCAAAGTTACTAAAGTCAGCACCTTTCTCTCCCACCCTTCAGTGAGGTTGTTTCACACATTTGTAATACAGTTAGATTGTTTCTTTACACCTAGGGAGTCCCCGTCTTCCTAGATGATTTAAAAATTGTGCATACATTAAGGTTCATTCTCTGTGCTGTAAAGTGCTATGGGTCTGATAAATGCATGGTGTCATATATTGACCGTTACGGTATCATAGAGAATAGTCTCGCTACCTTAAAAACATCCCCAGTTCTCCACCTATTTATCCCTCTTTCTATTCTTTCTTCCCTGTTAATCCTTGGCAACCACTGATCTTTCTTACCATCTCAATAGTTCTGCTTTTTCCATTATGTCATATAATTGGAGTCATATGGCATAGAGCCTTTTCAGCTTGGTTCTTTATTTCTTAGCAATATGCATTTAAGAGTCATCATTTCTTCTTTTCATTGAATAATATTCCACTGTATGCATGTACCATGGTTTCTCTATTTATGCATCTCAAAGGACATCTTGGCTGCTTCCTGTTTTTGACAACTATGGACAACAGTGCCATAAACATTCATGTGTAGGTTTTGTGTAGACGCAAGTTTTTACCCAACTAATTTTGGGTACATACCAAGGAGTACAGTTGCTGGATCATATGGTAAGACTATGTTTAGTTTTGTATGAAACTGCTGAATTATCTTCTAAGGTGGCTGAACCATTTTGCATTCCACCAGCAGTGGACGAGAGTTCCTGTTGCCCCACGGCCTCATCAGCAGTTGGTACTGCAGGTAAGCAGTGATATTTCATTGTTTTAATCTGCAGTTCCCTAATGACAAAGGACGTTGAGCATCTTTTCTTGTACCTATTTGCCATCTGTATTAGTCAGATTCTCCAGGGAAACAGAACGAATAGAATATGTAGATACATAGAAAAGGAAATTGATTACAGGGCTGGCTCACGTGGTTATGGAGACTGAGAAACCTCACACTCTGCCATCTGCAAGCTGGAGAAGAGGAAAGCCGGTGGTCTGCTTCAGTTTGAGCCTGAAGGCCTGAGGATTCGGGGGGTTGATGATGCAAGTCCCAGTCTGAGTCCAAAGGCTTGAGAATCAGGGGCTCCAGTGTCCAGGAACAGGAGAGCTTGGAGGTACCAGCTCAAGCAGAGAGAGTGAATTTGCCCGTTCTTTGCCTTTTTCTTCTATTTAGGCCTTCAATGGATTGGATGATGCCTACATACGTGAGGGCACTCTTCTTTGCTCAATCTGCAGATTCAAATGCTTATCTCTTCCAGAAACATCCTCACAGACACATGCAGACATAGTGTTTCACCAGCTGTCTGTGCAGCCCTTAGCCCAGTCAAGTTGACACATGAAACTGTCATACCATCTGCATGTCTTTTTTGGTGGGGTGTTCTCCCAACCATGTTTGGTCCTTTTTAATGACCCCCAAATCAAAATAAAGATTTTCTTTATGTTTAGAGTGTGTATGTTTCTTCGTTTATATTTAGAAACTGGATGATGTGTAGTTTCTCTTGCCTTTCGTGCATCCTGATGACTGGAGGACTCACCAAGGGGCAGAGCTGGGCTTGGGTCCGACCCCTGTACCTGGAAAGAGTGTTCTTTGCCCACCTCAAGCCTGCCTGGTGGCTCTGATGGTGTCTGCACAGCCCTGGGTGGGACAGGAGGCAAAGGGAACCATCTCTGGTTCTTCTTTGATGGCCCTAACTCTGTCCTGTCGATTTCAGGATTGATTTAATGGCAGTCCACCTTCACTTTATTTTGCAACTTTTATGGTCCCACCTGGAGGTAGGAGTAAGATCATCCTTGCTTCTGTCCCTGAGAACAGGATTCCCATGGCTTTAAGATCCAGGCTGCGCCCCAGAGTGGCTCCTAGGAGCTCTGCCATCATTTGAGGATGAAATTCAGGCCACTGTGGCCTTTTGCTGACAAGCTGGTGGGCTGGAAATTGAGAGCCTGAGGGAGCTGCGGTCATTGGTTGGTGATTACAAGTGAATGTCTCCATTGCACTCATATGAGGTTCCTAGACGGGTCAAGTTATAGAGACAGAAAGTAGAATGGCGTTGCCAGGGGCTGGGGGAGGGGGAATAGGAAGTTATTGGTTAATGGGGACAGAGTTTCAGTTTTGCAAGATGAAAAAGTTCTGGAGATGGGTGGTGCTGATGGCTGCACAATGTGAGTGCACTTTATGCCACTGAACTACACACTTAAAAATGGTTAAAATGGTAAAATTTATGTCATGTATATTTTATCACAATTTTTTAAAAGTAAAAAAAAGGAGCATCTTGTAGGGGGACAACTGTTGTCTCTGTATCCACATGGGTAACAGGCCAGATGTTTGAGCCACGCCAGTATCTGGCAGAAAGTCGCAGCACCAAGCGTGGTTGGCACAGCCGGAATTCCCCTCTGCTGGGCCCCCCAGCTCTTCCAAGGCCAGATTTGTGACTCAGGGAGACATGTGTGGCCACTGTGCCTAAAGGTGGGCACATCTAGGCCACAACAGTCAAGCTGTTCTGGCTACTCCTTTTCCACCTCCAACCCCTCCCCACGCCCAGACCCCCAGGCGGGTGGGCCCTGCTGCGCCTCACGGGCAAACCCAGAGCCTCAGCTTCCCCACTCCGTAGATGCCCTATTCATGTCCCCTGCGCTGTGCTGGGAGGCCCGCCCAAGGTGGGGTTAAGGATAGCTGGCACTGACTTGGCATAGGCTTTTTCCAGCAGGGCGCTCCAGAACTCATTGTGGTCGGCAGAGTGGAGGAAAACCAAGCGGTCCCTGAAGGTGGGCAGTCGGTCATCGATCACCACGTCCAGCCACTCGCTGTGCTGCCAGAACTGTTGCCCAAGGTGGAGACAGAAATTATGGGGGAGTCAGTCACATGGGAGGTCCAGGCTCCGTTTGTAAGTGTTCATCCTGTTGTTTCCCCTCCACCCCCACAACCAAACTGCCCTTATAGTCTTGAGGAAGATCACACGTGGGTTCCATGATGGGGCCACCTGCACTTTGTCCACCAAACCATGTGCTGCGCACTCTATTCACCACTGACAACAGCTCGAAGACTCTGTCAACCCGTCACAGCGGGGGCGTGGAGTGGGGAGTAGGATAGGAGTCACATGAAGACACTCCATGGTGCTTTGAATGAATTTTTCTTCTTCACAAGGAAGACTTAGTAGGCAGGGAGGAGGATGATAGTGTAGGGTTTGGTTTGCTCTTGTGCAGCCCAGTTCTCTGTTATTCTCTCCCTCCCAGTCTCAGGATCTCGCTCTGATGTTCCTTAACCTTTATTTCCTCCTGGCCCATCGGTGGAGCCCCTAAGACTGACTTTTTGGACATTCACATAAAGAGAGGCAGGTGGACTCGGTATTCCCTGCATGCCAGATGTGGTGCCATAAAGGGAGTGTGAGTGTGCGTGATTACATATGTGTGGACACATGTATGCACCAGTGTGTGCAGGTGTGCACATGTATGTGTGTTGTTCATGTCCATTTATACATTGCAAGTATGCAAGTGTGTGTATTTGTTCCCACATGTACAAGTGTGTGCATGAGAGTGCACATATGTTTGCATACATGTGTGCATGTGTATGCACATGTGTGTATTGTCTAAGCACAGGTATACGTGTGTGAGCCTGTGTGTGGTCTGCAGGGAACAGGAGAGGAGGCAGGAATAAGTTAAGGATCATGTGTAGTTTCTCTGCGCTTCCTTGTATCCTACAGGGACCTGCCTCCTCCTCTGGCTCACTTACCTGAGAGAGGTAACCTCGAGGAGTAAGAAGGAAGAGAAGGTCAAGAGGAGGGCGGGCACAGCGGCTCCAGTAGCCATGAGTTACAGCTTTGCGGTGGCACCCTGAGCACCTATCTCTCTACACCAGGGTTTAATCCCGAGCCGACCCGGCCAGCCCGGGCATGGCTGAGGTTGTGTGTATATGTTTTAAGGAAGATTCCTGCCCCTGCCCAAGCTGGACCCCACTCAGGGGCTTCACTGGCCACCTCGCCTCCTGATACCTGGTCACTTCAGGCTCTCAGGGCCGTTTGCTGCTTCAAGTTGAGCAGAGGCTCTGTTGGGACAGGTGTCAAATGGCCAGGCCCGGGCTTCAGGCTTCCTGAGCAGGGGAGGGGTGGGATGAGCCTCCGACTGGCCTTCCTCACCAGGGGCCAGCTCAGGAGAAATGGGTCCAGAGCCCAGACGCTCTGCTAGCTTCCGGCACCCACACACCTGTCCTGTGGCTGAGGGACAGGAGAGGAGTGTGAAAGAGGCAGATTTATTTCCAATGTTCCACTTCCCATGAGGCTGAGGTGGGAAGAGGGTGGAGTGTCACCAGTGTGGGACCTACAGTCACCAGCCAGGCCAGCCCCAGCCTGAGCACTGGCAGCACAGGGGAGCACCACAGGGGAGCACCACAAGGACGCCATAGCCAGAACTCCTGGGTGCTGGGCCTGGTTTGGCTACTTACTGTTTTGTGACCTTGGATCATCCACTTCCCCTTTCTGGGACTCAGCGTCCCCAGAGGTCACATGAGGGGGCTGTATCTGGGGATTGCTAAGGCCCCTCCCAGCTGTGACATTCCATGGGGCAGAGGACACGGTTCCCTTGGGAAGCCCAAGATCAGATGGTGGTGGTTGTGATTTAGCAGTTCTGTTGGATGTGCTGAGTTCAAATATCCCCAACCCTACCTCCCTGGTGTGTTCAAGAGGACCAGTGATGGGACAGAGCCTGGGGAAGCCATAAAGCCAAGGCTGTGGCGTGGAAAGAAGTCGGAGGCATAGAGGGGAGAGAGCCAGGTGGTGGCAGGTCCCTGGGAGTAGAATTTCCATCCCCCACCCCCCCGGCCCCAAGGCAGGTCTGTCTGCGGCCAGCACAGGAGGCCCTGACCCTGTGAGTGGACATGAACCCCCTGAGCTGCACGTTGCCAGCTCTGCTTTAGGAACGCTCCGGTGCTGTGGGTTACTGGACCTGAGAGTACATCCGTGCATCAGAGTGAGGGCGCTGGGGATGCAGGCGCAGGGCTGGCCCTGAGCAGTGGCCTGAGTGTCGGGAGAGGCCTGTCTGTCTGGTTGGGCAGGGGGTGATGCAGGACAGAGCAGATGGGAGGGGGAGGGTAGGGACATGGAAACAGTTTCCCGGGGACAAGGCTCGGCTGCAGGCCACACAGGACTGCAGCAGATGTGGTCTCTGCGTTTCTCTCAGTTTTCATTTGCCAAACTCCCTCAAGATCTCCACACTGACATTTCTTTCCATAGGGAGAACCTCCCTGTTTATGAGAAATCATCCAGTTCCCCAGAGGTATAACTGTTTTAGGTAACTGATACTTAAAGCACAAGAAATTCCAAGTAATGAAACACTTAATGCATGGACCCCCAGACTTGCCAAAGCATCCCTTAAAGTTTTGCGCTACACTTTCCAGAAGGAGTTGCCCTCCAATGCCTTGAATGCTTTTCTAGTGCATATAGATGCGATTCCACGAGAAAGCCTGGTTTCAGCGGGGTTAGGACCTAGCTCTCGCTCAGATGCGGTCACGTTGTCTCCAGGGTTACCGGGTACAGACGCACCTGGTGTCACACCAGGCCCCAGAGGAGTAAAACCACTGGCCCCGGCTCCCTCTTACCTGGAAATGGAATATCCCGGCATAACCGGGGCCGAAGCTTTGGTCCGGGGGCATGACTCTGGCCAGTGCTCTTTGGTTCAGCGTGAGGGAGGCAATGGCGGCCAGCAGCCAGCAGTCTCCTGCAGGGGGAAAGCCGGAAATCCCAGTTTTCATTGCTAATTCACAGGAAATGGGAAAGCTCTGTGCCAGAGGGGATGGGGGGAGTTCCAGATGTGGCCACATCTTTTCTGCGTTTTTAAAAACGGACAGAATACCAACAAATACCTCTGTCCTCCCTTTCCGCCTCCCTGGCCTGCTCTCCTCCTGCCCCGTCTGTCAGGAACAGCTGTGGCCTTCTTGGCACTGTTACAGATATGCTCAGGTCGGGTTCCGACACACAGCTCCGCCACGCGCCAGCTCTGCGGAGTCCCAGCGACTCTCCGTCTGGGGCAGCACGCTGTGCACGCGAGCGCCAGAGCGGGCTGGGTGAGCAGGTGTCGCAGAGCTGCAGCCCCAGCCGGTTCTGCGATGCTTGGAGGGGGTGCTCAGAAACGGCCCCTGTCGGGCCTGGGGAGCGCACCTCTCTGCAGCCCAGACTCGGTTTGGTTATAGAGCGGTAGCTTCACGTGCTTTAAATTATCTTCGTTTTCAAGATTGAGCGAGTCGCCTACGGAACTCCCCAGCTGTGTCTTCACATGGACACATGTCTGACCTCAGGAAAACTGAAACGTGAGGCCAAACATCGAATGGCATGTCACCTGTGTCCTGCCACGCTTACCCGTGTGGAGAATGGATGGACCCGGCCTCTGTGTGTGCCTCACTCACAGCGTTTCAGGCGCTGCCTGTGAAATACGTGTGAGCAGATGTTTGGCAGCATCCATGTGCCCGACAAGACCCCTCAGCTTTATCCGGATGGTATTTGTTTTCAGTAGAAACGTCAACATCCCTGGAACCTAAGAACCCATCGTACTCAGCCTGGCTTCCTCAGAGGTCACATTTCTGGAAAATACTGTGTGCTGCTGGACTTGGGGCATTGTAATATGACCCGTTTCTGGTTGTTCACAGGCAAGAGAGACTGATCAGGGAATGACGTCGGGAAAGCTGCTCCTGAACTGCTCTGTTTCTGGCTTTCCCAAGGGTGTCACCAACAGGGCACATGGCACCCCAACCTGAGCTGGGATACAGGAGGAGTCGTTTCTAATGCACCAGCTGGTTTGGGGAAGCCTGGGGTCAGCTTTGGGAGATGCTATGAGGAAGGGACACTGCTGGAGGCTTGCAGGGCCATTTGTTCAAGAAGGCAAAGATGAGGAAGGACGCAGTCTCTGCTTTCAGCCTGAGGGAGTCTAACAGAGTGACCCCTGCTGTGGGCTGATCTCTTCCACCCTCTCTTCCGAGTGTCAGCTTTGCCCAATTGAGGACAATGTGTGTGTTTTCCTGGCCTGAGAGCACAACATCTCGTGTCTATCCAGCCAGAAACTTGCTGAGCTTTCGGAGGGGAAGATTCAGAAGTCAATGTTATTTATACAATTTAAAAGAAATGGAAAAACTCAGCGACCAAATAAAATTGCTTTTCTCTCTGTTGGGCCTGGATGGCGGGGTGGGGCTGGCCTCCCCAGCTGTGCCGGGAGAAGTGCCCTCCCTCTGCAGGCCGGCGTGGTGCTCGGCGTCGGCACTAGCAGGAGCAGCACCCAACGGTGTTGGCCAAGTTCTAATTCTTGTCATGGGTGGCACAGAGCGCAGCTGCTCGTTTTACTGTTATCCTTCATAATATATGCTATGTGCAGTATTTGGGTGCAATAAAAGTGTAACAAAATAATATTTACCATCGACCATCCACTAAGGTTAAATATAAGATTATAACTCCAAATACATGTTACACCAATGTGACAAGCCAAACCTTGAAAGGCAAAGGAGCCCGTGGGTGCAACGGTTTCCCACTGAGCAGCAATGGCGGACTGGGCGGCGGGACCAGGGGCAGGGGAGGTGCAGGATAGGCAGGAAGCGGCGGGAGAATCTCCTAGGGAAGGCTCAACCTCAGTAAAGGCAGACCATCTGCATGTGACGTTTTTGAAAAGTCTAAGTTATACCTAGAATATACACAGCCTTCCCTCGGTATACACGGGGGACTGGTTGTAGGACCTCCGAGGACACCCAAATCTGCTCATCCTCAAGTCTCATGGTCGGCCCTGCAGAACCCGCAGATAGCAACAGTCGGCCCTCCGTGTCCACAGGTTTCACACCCCATGAATACTATATTCTCAATCTGCATTTGGTTGAAAAAATCCTTGTGTGTAAGTGGACCTGTGCAGTTCAAGCCTGTGTTGCTCAACTGTAATCCTATCGTCTATCAGCCACCTCTATTAATCTATCACCATGTAACCACCTTCCTACCCGTCACGTGTCTATTTATCTGTCATCTCTTTATGTATCTATCCATCTGACCACTCACCACTGTCATCTGCCCATCCATCTATATCTGGCTATTTAATTAGCTGTCATCGATCTAGGTGTGTGACTTTGGGATTCTGTGTTTAGAGTGGCTCAGTGACTCAGAGTGGAGGTTCCACCATGAACTGCCTGAATCATTAGACCACAGTGATAACCTCAGCTGTAAACAAGTTGGGGTCTGCACACGCTTGCAGCAGTTTGCTCTCTTGGCTGATCTCACTGTGTGTGTGTGTGTGTGTGTGTGTGTGTGTGTGTGTGTTTAAGGCAGTTTCTCTCTATTTGCATAGGTGGGATAAAGGTAAATCCAGCCCAACAGGATTACACCCTAAAATGCAGGACCCAATTTGACTGGCTCTGGGACATTTCAGGTCAACAGCAGGAGGGAGATTGATTGGGCGGCTGGGGTATGAGCCCCTAGGCGCAGTGTGTATGGTGGTTAGGAGCACAGTCTCTGCAGCCAGACTATCCAGGTTCAATCACTTCCGTGAACTTGGACAAGTTCCTTAGCCTTCCGTAGCCTCCATTTTCTCATCCGTGACATCAGGAGGGTGGCTGGGGAGATGAGACAGGGCAATGCGTGCTTAGGAGAGTGCCTGGCAGGTGACTGAGTTCATGTGTGTAGGCGTCAGCTACCATCATGGTGTAGGAAGGCCAGACCCACGCTGCTGGGTGTCACTGTCCTTTGTAAACCACGGGCTACGAGCTCCAGATCACAGGCACATCTGCCTTTAGAGGAACAAGCACACAACGAGCTTGGGGCCACTGACTGGGCTCCCTTCAGAGGGGGCAGGCGGCAGGCTGGGGAGGGAGGGAGGAAGCGGAAGGTGGTGGCAGTGCTGTCTCCCCCACCCCTGTGCCCCGCGGGTTCTCAGGGACCCCGTGCTGCTGTGACTGTCCCATCCCGCCAGCCCCAACCTCCCTCTGGCCATGTCCCATCCCCTCACACTCACCAAGTTCCCCCTGGCAGATATCAGTCCTGGTGGCCCCTCCAAGAATGAATTCTGGGTTTTTCACGATTTCCTGGAGGAACAAGAGTGTGATGAGAACGAGGCCTTTCACCCCGTGGGCCAACAGGAGGAGGCAGGCTCAGGGTCGCTCTTCTTTCCCAGAGCAGAGGACTTCCTCCCTGTGCTGGGCTTTCTTCCCTGAGGAGGACCACGTGGAGGGGAAAGGCCCCGTGGCCCTATGACTGGGACAAGCCTGGGCTCGTCTCTAATAAATCCCATCCCGTGGGGAGAGGTTCTGCCTCCCCAGCAGCACCCAGTGTGGTCCTCTGGCCAAAGAGCCTCGCGCCACGCCTGGCCGCAAAGGGGGACATTGGCCATGTACTGAGGACTCCTGCCCTCACTTGGGCACTGGGCTGGGAGTCGGGCTGAGTGTTCGAATCCTGGCTCCCCCACCTGTGAGCTTTGTGACTTCCATGGGCTTCCAATTCCTCCTCTTAACATGAGGTGAGTAATGCACCCACCACGGGCTGGGGCCTGGGGTTAGACACACCCCTCTTCCCCATCCACCCAGCTTCTTTATTTTTTTAGATATGCATTTTGGTAAAAGTTTATATATCTATACCATATGCAGAGAGAGATATGCACATATCTCTCATATAGCCTTACCTAAGTGCATTATATATATTTATTATGTAGTACACATTTCATATACCTGTATTAACATAATCACCAATACGTATTAATATCTACATATATACTATGGAGGGATAAGTATAAAACACTAAACAAAAAAGTGTCAGAAAGCAACCCTACACAGTTCATACATTCTTCCCATTTTTTCGAGGTGCTAAGCTCCACTCCTGGCGTTGGGCTACAGGAATGAAGAACAGAGAGAAACTCCCCTCCCTTGCGCAGCTGCTGCGAACTCCACGTGGCCCAGGGAGCAGACCACAACCAGGCGCTAGAAGCGCTAGGATGGGAAGCCGTGGGGTGGGGGGTGCTGTTTCAGCCGGCGTAGGCAGTGGGGGAGGCCACTGGGGGGGAAGCAGATTGTGAGCGGAGACCTAAACAAGGGGCTGGCGGGGGTGTGTGAAGGTCCAGGGAGAGGAAACAGCTGCCCATGCAACACTGATGCCAGCTCTGGTGCTCGGCAGGTGCCTGACTGAACTGGATCAGCGGATGCAGGTAAGACAGGGGCTCTTCCCACCTGTGTCCAGACACCGAGACTGCGCAGGGCCCGGGCTGGAGGTGGGACGTCCCCAGCAGTATCTGGGCCCACACCGGGCAGGGAGCTTAAGTTGCACGACCTCCCCCAAGAGACCCCTGCCCTGAACTGTCTTCCTCAAGCTTCTCGGGACCTTGCTTCCCGGGTCTCCTGTCCCAAAGGATCGAAGGGAGGACAGAGATTTCTCTGAAGCCAAGGGGTCCCCAGGACAAAGAGCTGAAGTGCTAAACGAAGGTGCTGTCTGTGCGCCTCCCAGGTGTGGCAGCCTGTGGAGTGACAGACACCCAGAGCACCCGCTGGAGAGGCCTGCATGGATACACTGGTTTCTACCACATCCAAGCAAGCTGCGTCAGGAGGGCTTCTGAAGAGCGTTGTGCCGTTGGACGTACCGCGAACCCCGCCTGGCAGAGGTAGGACGTCCCAGATGCCAGCCCCTCCTCTGTGAGACTCACATGTCCTCCCACTCCTGCCCTCAGCTCCAGGTAGCCTTAGGGTCTTTTCACTGAATGACCTACTCTCCAATGCGGCAGGAAAGGCAGTGAGGGTAGGGAGGCAGCGCCTTGGTGCCAAGGTCGCCCATGCGGACCCTCTCCCACCTGCACAACCAGGCACGCTGCTGTTCTCCCTCAGCCTGGGCTAGCACGATGTCTGCATGTGGCTTGGAGGGACACTGCAAACCGGGAAAATGTGAGGGGACCCCCAGAGTCCCAGCGGTAGCCTGCCCCGCTCAGCAGAGGGGCTCTGAGCAGGCCATTTAACTTCTCAGGGCTGTTTCCTCCTCTGTCCCCAGCTCCGACATGCTAGGCTTGTTGCAGAATGTGTGTTGGAGCCTCTTCCCCAAAGGGAATCCTGAGTCCTCAAAGCCCTCCTTGTCTCGATTGCCTGGCACCTACCACTGGAATCACCCTGACAAGCAATGCCTCACTGCCAATGCTACTCATCCTGAAGTGGGCGTCAAGTGAGCTCCAAAAGCTGCAGATCCCTGCCCAGCAGGCTGTGCCAACCCCTGGGGACAGGCTGTGCTTGTGGAAGCCACCTCCTTCATATCCGCTGTGTCCCTCCCCTCCCCCAGTCTCCTGCTGGCCTGGCCCCGACAGCTGCACCAGCTGCGCCAGGTGTGACTGCAGCTGCTACCACCTCCCAGCCCCCGTCTTCCAATTGGTTGTTTAGTGCAGGAGAGTTTTATCAAATTGCATCCAACTAGGAGAAAAATACAGAAGGAGAAGACTCCGAAATTCTCACCAAGTGAACACAAATTAGCCATCTGGTATAAACTGGGGAGGTGCCTGGAGTGTGACTGCCATCTCTGTGGGTCAGCGTTTCTGTAAAGCAGAGCACGCGTGTGCCCCTCATGGGGGGAATGAGCACGCATGTGCGGGACAGTTGTGCCATGGGGGGCGGGGGTTAGACACCAGGGTGCCGTGCAGCAGTGTATGTTGACCAGCGTGTGGTCCCACGTGTGTGAGATGACTGTGACTTGCCTGGGTGTGTAGTATGCATGTGCCCATGCACATGTTCCATACATTATATATGTTGGTTGCATGTGCGCTTATGTGCATTGTTTGTGTGTGTGTGTCCTGCATGTGTGTACGGGGCCTGAATGTATGTTTGTTCCTGTGAAATGTTGTTTTGGGGGTGCAGATAGAGGTTACCCACAGTCCTGTACAGGATGATCAGAGGGTCTCAATCACAGGGGTCTTGACAAACCTGAAGTGAACCCAGACTGCTGCCTGGGGACCCTGGGGGACCCTGGGAGCCACGGGGGAGGCAGGCGGTTTTCCTGGAGCAGAGGCTACGGGCCAAGCATCCCGGAACGTTTGCTCTTAGGGCCTGTTCTGTTTACCTTGTTCATCATCAGGGACTCAGCCAAAGACAAAGACTTCCCCCTACTAAGTACAGTAAGCCATTTAGAAAGGGAAAAGCCGTATTTCTAAGAAGCTCCGAGATGCCAGGTGGTGCAGTCTATGGCTATGTGCTGGTCCCCGCATGTGCCCAGCTCTGCGGTGGCTATGGGGACGCTGAAGCTGTCCTGGAGCAGCCAACAGCCCCTCGTGGGGTCGGGGGAGCAACCCTGGGAGCAGGGAGTCCCCTGTGCAGGAGACGTCATGGCCTTGTGCCACAGTGTGCACAGGGCTGCCAGGGGGCCATGGGGGCATCTTCGGGGGGAGGTGTCCTGGGTTTAGGCTGAGGAGCAGGGAGGAATTGCAGGGCAGAAAGCAGAGGGGTGCAGACAGGGAGGCCCGGCAAACACGTGGCTGTCTCCCCATAGGCCTGGAGACCCCCACCCGACACACCCTCCCTCTTTCTGTGCACTCACCTGCACTCAGGTACACAGCCCCCTGCATGAGGCCTGGTGGTGACCTCACCTTCTCTCCATGTTTTGCCAGTCACCCTCCCTGGACCCCTGCCAGCATCTGTCACCCTCCCTGGAACTCTGAGTCACGCCCCGCCGTGTGCTCCTTGCCCGCCCTGGGCTCCCTTGAGGGCAAGTCTGGCTGCCCATCACCCTCTGATGTGCCCTGGCTTGTGCTCCACCCGCCCTCCTGCCAGGCACAGCTGTGTTTGACAAAAAGGCAGTGCTGGGGACAGGGCCGCCCCACCCATGGTCCCAGGGGCTGCTGAGACAGGCGTGTGAAAATGCTGAGCAGCGGGGCTTTGTGGAGGGAGTCGGGCAACACTTTCGATTACCCTGCCACCCCCGCACCGCCGACCAGAGACCCTGCACGTCCGCACTGCAAGAAGAAGCTCCACGCCCACCCCTGCCCCTTTGCTCCAGACGTCACAGACACAATGCAGAGCCCCCAGCTCCCCTGAACAGGAAACAGATGGGGGTGAGGGAAGGCGGACCAGACTGAGGGGACAGTCTCAGGTGCAGACAAAGGAAAGGGCAGAACAGATTCTGAAAATGAATCCCTGGGAAGGGCAGCAGCATGGTAGACCGAAGTTAAGACCAATAAAGGCAGTGTCCAGCCCCAGCTAGAGCTGTGGGATGAGGCATGGGCCGGGTGGCCGGGCCCCTTTGCAGGAGGGACGTGGTGCAGGGACCTGTGGCTTAAGGTCTCACCCAGCGTTCAGGGCAATGCTGGAGGGTCAGTGGTGAAGAAGACAGACAGCCTCTCGGAGTGGGGACCTGAGACTCTGAAGTCCTTGGGCGGGTCTCGGTGACCCTGGTCCCAGGAGTGGAGATCTCTGGAGTGGAGACAGGGGTGCCCTCCACCCTGGTCTGCACGTCCAGCTTTTATCTTGGAGAATTCTACCTTTGACAAAAAGCACATAAGTTGTGGGCTACAGAGTTACACCTGAAACCAGGTGAGGCCAGACTACAAGGGCAGGCCCTCTAGAGTGATGGGGAGAAAATAGTGTTAGTCTGAAATTATAGCAGCAGAAAGAACAAGGACTAACACTTCTTATTATTTACATGCCAGGCTCTTGGCTGAGTGCTCTGCGTGTGGTAACACAGTTGATCCCCACAGTGACACCACAGGTAAGGTGCACTATTGCCCCCATTTTATGGAAGAGCAAACTGAGTCCCTGTGGTGGCTGCTGTGATTCACCTCTCAGACCCCTTCAGAGAGGAAGGTGCGTCCCCACTGCTGGGAGCACTAGACTCTTTGGAACTTGCTGAGAAAGCGACCTTGTTCAAGGTCACACGTCTCAAGGGCATCTGTATCCGAATCCAATGACACATCCATAGGTCTACAAACACAGAGGCCCTGTCACCCCACCTCCGGACAACTCTGAGGGACCATCCCAGCTCCAGGGTGCCCCTGTGCTTGACTGAGGCCTTCACGGGACCACCCTGCAGCCCCTTCTCTCCCTCGGATGTGACGCTAAGAGCACCCTGATGAACGGGTCAGAGAGGCTTAGCCAGCTGCAGGGAGCACTGTGCTCAGGTGGGTGGAGGTGCCCCTCCCTGCCCGAAGGAACAGAAGCAGAGGAGGAGCCCAGCTCTGCCAACCACCACCCTCTGCTTGCAGGGCCAGTGGGAGCAGCTCCGCACCCAGCCGGGACACAGGTCACCAGGGAGTGCAAAGGGGCAGACAGCCTGGGTCGGAACCGGCACTGCTGCCCGCTGTGACTAGCAGTGTGACGTTAACCTCTGGGCCCGAGTGTCACCTTTGGTAGGAGGGGATAATAATAACACCCAGCTCTCAGGGGCACCTGGGTAAGGAGGTGATCCTGGCAGGCACACATGTTGCCAGGCCAAGAAACTGTTGGCCGTCATCATTGCTCCGAGGGTGCCAGACGGGGTGGTGAAGCTGACGATGCCGTGGGAATGGGATAAATGAGCCCCCTGCCCTTGCGGAGGAGGTAGGCTCTGAAAAGGGGACCAGCGGACACACAGAGTGTTATATCACAACGGCGGCAGGGCCGAGGTAGACAACTGAGTGTGCTTGGGGAACAAAGAAGGTTTTGCTGGGGGGGCCATGGAGTTGAAGTTTCACAGGCACGGAAGAGCCTTTCAGATCAAGGGAGTGTGCATGGGGGGACACGGAATGCTGTAGGGGTGTCCCCTCTCCCCGAGGACGGAGCCCCAGGCTGCACTCGAGGCCGGGGCTTGCTGGGAGCCTGTGCTTCCTTCCTCAGCAGTGCTGAGCCCGCCCAGGGTGCTGAGCAGAGGGGGTGGCTTGAACCCTTGGAGGCAGTAGGGAGGTGGCTTGACCAGCTGCATCTGCAGGCAGGGGGACCAGTTAGCGGCAAGGAAGCCAGCGGGATTTCTCGGAAGGAGGGCTGAATCATCTGGTGATGGCCCCTCAGACTTGGGACACTGCAGAACCAGGGGCAGCTCCCCACGGACCAGGCAGGGCAGGACGGCATCAAATTGGGGCCCAGACCCTCTATCCCCAGGTCAGCTGCTGCCTCTGGTGCCTGAACAGGGCTGTGCCCCTGTAGGCCCCCAACAGCAATAGGTTTCATAAATAAGTGTCCCCAAGTTTCCTGAATCCTTTGAGACTTAGTTTTTGAACCTCTAACATTAAACCATTTTAAAGGTTCAGATTGATAAAGTAAAGTATGAATCTGCTTTTAAAAATTTTTTTATTGTTTTGTAGAGACGGTGTCTCCCTAGGCTGGTCTGAAACTACTAGCCTCAAGCGATCCTCCCCCTCAGCCTCCCAAAGTGCTGGGATTGGTTACAAGCATGAGTCACTGCGCCTACCCATGAACCTGCTTTAATACATACTAATAACTTGCCGTTCAAATTTTTAAAATTCCAGTGTCCAGGTGACTCTGGAGTACTTACTTTTCTTTTTGGGCAGCTTTTTATTTTTTCCCTCCACCACGTTGGAAAAGATGGTACATGGTTACGGGAAAGTGCTGGGATGAGTAAGCGCCAGGCTCCTCTGTGCAGAGATCTCCCTGTGTGCTCAGAGCCCGTTTGCCTTCCCAGCCTGAGCGGAGGCTTCTGGTCTCTGCAAGAGGGTGAGGTTTTCCTATCAGAAGGGGGACCTATTAGAAGGTACCGGAAGAGATGGGGGAAGGACAGGGAGGCCACACGGCTGACCAGGAGTGGCGAGGTTTGAGTGGAGACCTGTCTTGTCCTCCGCAGCATGCTGCGTGCTGTGTGCGTGTGGCTCTCACTCCTGCATTTTATTTCACTCTGAGTAGACTGTACGCTCCTCTAGCACGAGAATTTTATCCACTATGCCCTTGACACTGACTCTCAATGACAGGCTTGGGAGCAGCCGACCCAGGGCATCTGCATTCCCAGGGCAACGTCATGTGCCCATGGCAGACATCACTAATGGATCACAGCAGTTACTGCAAGTTAATCAGATTTGCCAGCCCTCAATGTGGAAACTGGCCAGCATTCTCCGGGAGCCCTTGATGCTCATTAGTGGCGGCTCTGACTCTGTTTTCCTGAACCCCAGGCACAGAATGGAATTGCCAGGTCACAGCTCCTGTGTCTCCTGTCATCACTATTCACAGGTACGTGGCCACTGTCCCCTGAGGCCAGGCACTGCCTAAGCAGGAGAGGGAGAGCATCACTGGGCAGATTCCTGGAGGTGCAGCCCTCCTCTTGGCTGGGAGAGGTCATGGGCGATTCCCAGGAAGAGCGAGGTGACCTCAGCAGGGGAGGCTGGGAGACGAGGGCCTACAGTCACAGGCGAGGAGTCAGAGCAAGGCCAGGATGCAGGCCTGAGGAGCACTGGCTGGGAGCTCCCAGAGACCTGGCTGCTTGCTGAACCTACACACACAGGTGCACTTTGCTGCATGCAGAAGTTCTACAGTCCAAGACAATTTCCATTTAAAATAAGAGACACGAGCATCGAAGTCACTGACCCCAGCCCCTAAGTAGGTGCTTCCACCCTTTTCCTGTCAAGCCCCCATAGAAAGCCCCCATCAATGCCATGCATCGATATTTGCATGGCACCCTGGGGTAAACGAAAAAGCTGCCAGTGGCCAGAGGCAACTAGGCTCTGCCTGCCTGGGGCCAAGGGGATCAACTCTGTTTTCCAGTGCTCCTGACTGCAACTGCGGGAATCTCAGTTACAAATGCACCCACAGCCTGCAGCCTGGGGCAGCTGCCCACGTGCCATTTGTGCATGGGCTGAGGGATGGAAATATGCCCAGGAAGACCTAAGGGGTGTGGACAGTGCCCCTTAGGGGTGACTATTTTGTGTACTGTAACTGTTTTTATTTTGGAAATGTTCTTTTTCTTACTTAGCAGAGCATGATCTACTAATCCTGCCAATAAAGTGCAACCCCCACACGATCTGCCAGTGTCCTGACCTCACACTGCTACCAGCCATACGCAGAGAATCAAAACCCATTGTAGAGGCTTTAGGTTATCGCGAGAAATGTGCCCGGGAGCTTCCACTGCAGCCCCACTAGGGCAGCTGAATGCTTATTGCGATTTCCCCCACGTGTAGGGCACCTTGTTGGGACTTGATGTTCTAGCCGTATGTGAGGATCAATTACCTGGTAGGTGAATGTGTGCATGTGCATGTAGCTGCGCACACACGTGTGCACGCACATGCACATGCAGTCACATACATGCACATATGCACGCACACACTTGGTCGAATGCAAACACACAAGTACATGCACACACATGCACACACCCCACACTGCCTACAACAGGAGACAGCCTAAAGACCTTACCATCTCATGCATAACAGCTTATGTTTACTTTGGCCTTGTCCCAGAAGAGCCCAGAGGTTTTGTGTATGCACATTTTAAAAATGAACATGTTATGCATTTAAAACATCAGCATTATTTTATTTTCAGGAGCTAGAGAGGAAGTAGCTATGGTGAATCCTTTGCTACTTATAAGGAAGATGGGATTTAGAGCTAATAATAATGATGGTAATAATAAGAGTAATAGCAGTAATGACCATAGTGGTCATTTATTGAAAACCTTCTGTGTACTGGACATTGACCTACGTTAGTCATTATAGTTCCCATTTTACAGGTGTGGAGACTGAGGTTCAGGGGAGTTAAGTGATGTGACTGGAGTCTTGAGACAAATTAGCAGCAGGATGGGACCAGAACTCAGGGTCTCACCTGTGGCTCCAGCACCCTCTGCACTGCCCCTCCTGGCCCATAAACCACCTGTCCCCACAGGAGCCACTCCCAGGCCAGTACCCACCCAGAGGAAGGGAGCCAGCCAGCTCCGGGTCAGGGGTAGAGCTTTGACTAATCCATACCGCAAATATTGATATAGTGTCCCAGGCACCAGCTGGTGACTCTTGAGGCCCGTAACCTCCAGACTGCCGGGGGCGGGCGGCACCCACCCCGATTCTCCTCTAGGAACGGGGGATGCATCGCTCTTGGGAGAGCATCCTGCTTCCCTTGTATGCCACTCATCACACATTTGCTGGGAACTCGCTGAGTCAAGCATCTGCCCACACTGAGCATCCTTGGTTCTGGGCCAGAAGCTACAGAGCACTGCACATATGCGACCGCAGCGCCGTCACACAGGCAGGGGGAGGGGCAGTCTCTGAACCGAGAGGTGTCCTTTGGGATAAAGCTTTGACTCCTGCTCTTTGCCTACTGACAAGACCCTCTCTGACTCCAGGTCCCTGGGCTCGGTGGGAGTCAGAGAGCTTGGCGCAGGGTGGGGAGAACAGCAGATGCCCCGGGCACCCACCCCAGAGTATCCCAGGCCCGCACATCATTTCCTGCCTCCAAACTGCAAAGCTTTCAACGGTAGGCTCGGACGCCGAGCCTCGGTCAAACTGAGGGTACAGCCCGCCCCTCCCAGCCCCTCTTTCCGCTTTCTCCTCCCCAGGAGCTTGCGGCCCTCTCCCCAGGCCAGCGAGCCTCAGCGTCCCCTGGGCCCCCACCCTACTCGCTCCACTCACCCCTGGCCGTTTCCACACGAAGGGGACCTGGGGCCTCTCACTGTAGAAGAGGGAGGAGTTGTTGGCCGGGAAGTCTGCATCTTCAAACAGGGTGCCTTTCCGCAGGCACTCCTGCCTCAGTTGCTCGAAGCTCTGGCCTGAAGAGTGGGTGAGCCGGGCATCCCTGGGGACCGGGTGTGGCTGGGGCCCGGGGGCCCGGTGGAGGTAAGGCATGGCTGCTCCCTGGCCGGCGGGCTTGGGTGGGCCGTGGAGGGAAAGGACGCGGAGGAGCGACTGCGTGTGCCGTCCAGAAGGAGCAGCTCCGAGGGCCCCTGGGCTGCGCGGCCCTCGCCTCCACCTGTTTGCAGGCACCTCCCTGTGAGCCTGAAATGGGACACGCCCTGATGGCAAACTGCAGAGAGAGCCCGCTGCCCACTCAGGGCTCCTGCAGACCCAGAGGCAGCTCTGGGGCCCGGCTGGTTCCGGGCAGAGGTGGCACATCTGCTGAGGGCACTGGAGACACCCAGGGGAGAGAGGGTTGCTTCGCAAGGAAAAATGGTGAGAAACCTAATGCGTCCAGGAGGTGGCATGGACAGAGTGTGCTGTGTGGCCTTGAGTCACAGCTCCTGATGGCTGACTTTTGCAATTGGAAGGGAGCTTGGGGAGTCCTAATAGGACGTGTTATGTGAATGCAGCTTGCATGGGTCTTGCAAAATCCCATTTTGATTGAGAGCAGGGCTGGCAACTTTTCCTGTAGAGGGCTGGATAGTAACGACTTGCTGCTTTGTGGGCCATGCAGTCTGTGCTGCACCTGCTCAACTTTGCTCTTGTAGCACCAAAGCAGCCACAGAGGCCATGCAAACGAACGGGCATGGCTATGGCACAATAAAACTTTATTTACAAAAGCAGGTGGGGGGCCGGATTCCATCCAACCTGACTCCTGATACAGGGGAACTAACAGAGGACATCCACGCCTTCTCTAGAGCACATGTGCCTCTCCTCTCCAGACATCGTATTAAAAAAGTTCCTTGCCATGTTAAGACCCTACAAATAAGACCTCACATTTGAGAAAAAAATGAAGGTCAGAGGATGGAGGCAGTTAATAAAAGTATCAGCCACCACTTGAAGCACTTTACAATGGTTTCTATGTAATCCTCTAGGCAAGGGGTCTTGAGTTAATGGGTACAGTTAAAAGACCATGATATGTATTTTTATAAAACCGCACGGTTCCCAGGAATGTTTGCTTAGTCTCTGACACTTTCTGTCCAGTATGTCCTGCATAGTATTTTACAGGGGAGATGTAGACATCAGAGTTGGACATGTTTGGGTTCAACTCTGCTATGGACTAAATGCTTGGGTCCCTCCACCCCGCCCCACAATTTATATGTTGAAACTCTAACTCCTATGGTGATGAAATTAGGAGGTGGGGCCTTTGGGGAGTGATTAGGTCATGAGGGGGGAGCCCTCGTGACGGGGATTATCGCTTTATTTAAGATTAGGCCCCACAGGGCTCCTCCTCCCTTCCGCCACGTGAGGACACAGAGCCAGGAATCGGGCCCTCCCCAGACACCAATCTGCTGACGCCTTCATGTTGGACTTCCAGCCTTCAGAACTGGGAGCAGTAAGTTTCTGTTGTTCATAAACCACCCAGGCTGTGGTGTTTTGTTATAGCAGCTGGAAGATACTAAGGCAAACTCCCAGTTTTGCCTGGGGTGATCTTGGGCGAGTTACTTGTGCGTGGGCTGCACCCGTTTCCAAGGTGTGAATCAGGGTAATGAGAGCTGCCTCCCGGGCTGTGGTGAGATTTATGGAAACAGCGGCTCGCAGAGTCCAGCACACGCATGGGGTCAGGGGCTGCTACGCCTCCCCTTCCCCCGTCCTCTCTGCACCCCGTGCCTGTCCCTCAGACACCGCTCTCACGGCCCCCCTGAGCTCACTCCCCCACTCCCATAAAGGCTCTTGTTCTCTTGTGTCTCTTTGTCCCCACAGTGAAGGACTTTGGAACCCTCGTGCTGGCCTGTCCAGACGATTCTCTGCTGGAGATGGCGGAGCTGCCAGCGAGAGTCCTGCTGCCCGCTGCCCGGCCAGACAGCTCTGTTTCAGAGTGACTAAAAAGGGCAACGAAGGGAGGCAGGTGTGACAATGTGAGGGCCATCCATTTCTGGTGACGCCTCAGCAGGGAAATGATCGCCAGCCCAGATTTCTGAAATGTCCCCTTCAGATGCCCCAGCAACTGGGAAAAGGCCCTTGAATTAAAATCCAGAGCTGTTCAGAGTCATGAAGGGTTTGCTCAGTGCCCGACCCACTCCCAGCTCCAGGACTTATGCTGTTATTCCACTCCTGTTACAAACGCCTCTCCAGGCAGAGGTCCAGCCCTTCTGCCTGGGCCTCCCCTAGGCTTTGGAAGAATCAGTCTTTTTATTTAAAGGCTCATTTTAGTTGCTAGGTAGTCAGAGAACTGCACTGTCATTTATTGAATAAAGCAAAAATGCCCCAGAGTAAGAAATGCACTGAAAGGGTTCAGCCTCCTCCAGCGCTAGAGCTAGTGCTCACCTTGCAGCCCTGCTCCCCTGCACCCTGCTACCGTCTGAGGGAGAGGGAGCACCTTCCCAGGGGGTACTGCCTGGCCATCCTTCCAACCCCCGGGTCCTGTTCCTTGGGAAGTCCATGACCCCAGCCATAGGTGGTCAGCTGCCGGGCGTGGCCCACAGAGCCCCTCGCTGACCTCGCCTACAGGGCTCATTGTAGACGCAGCCATGGCTGCGTCTCAGCGTCGGGTCCTGCGCCCAGCTCAGCCCTGGCAGAGCAGGAGCCTGATGCACATTTGCTGAATATACGTTGCGCCAATGCTTCGGGAAAGCAGACGTCATTGTGGAGTCTCTCAGTTTAATTTTCCAAACTTTCACTTCTACTCAGGTTGGAAAATGAATGTGGAGAAACTTCAGCCACATCGTCTGAGGCCAGCTAGGCCCCGCGCTCCTCCTCTCCCATGGAGGGGGAGGATCCTCTGAGCATTTTCCCCCAGGCCATTCCCTTTGTTACACGCCTACTACAGACTCCAGGGAAGCATCCATTTGTGTCCACCTCTATCTTTTTAAGGGACTGAAGCCCAGCCCATCAGGAAACTGAGCTTCAGGAGTTTGATATTTTGCCGCAAAGTACTGCTCGAAGAATTGCATTAGATAGGATAGCAGCAAGTGGCTATTTAGGAAACATAAATTAGGGTAGAGGAGATATTTAATCAAAACCTGAACACCCAGAGTAACATATTTCTTCCTTGCTCAGTCCCCATTTTTATTTGAGAACTATGTTCATGCTCCAGATGTTGTGACAACACTGGGGATACAAAAATGTTTGAAATAATTCTTACGATCAAGACCAAAATGAAAAGAAGTCAATTGAGTTAAAAAAAAAAATCGAAGTCAACAAAACTTTGTCTTAAAAATTTACATGTAAAGAAACAAACTTGTTTCACAAGCTTGGAAACAGAAAATGATTTTAAGAGCTGAGTGTTATTAAACAACCCGTGTTTTCTCAATTGCATCAAGAGTGACAGTAAGACATGCAAACTCTTTGGATTTAGGATGTTATCTTTCTTTGAGATTTGACACAATTTTCCAAACTCCCTCTGCAAATGTAGGGTGGGACAGTTCTCTTTTAAATAGTAGTCTGGGTTCTGAAAAGAAACAGGCAGTATATTTGAATGGGACAATTTGAGGAAGGTTTAAGAGATGAACAATTTACAAGGGTGTGGGCAGGAAAACCACCATAGATTGAGTGGTTTTCTGGGACTGGGTGCAGCATGGCCCCTCCAGAACCTATAGCCCTGCAGACCTGGTGGGGAGGATGCAGTCACCTGAGGCCACCTTAAGGGGAAGGAGAGGCTGTGAAGTTGAAGCCATGGAGCCCCATGACACCATCCACCATCCACATACACCAGCCTCCCAGCGGACAGAGCAGGTGGCAGGTGGATCCAGAGGGACCACCAGATTAGCCAGGCAGGGCCCAGCTGCTAAAAGGAGAACAGGACTCCTTCAAGTGAGGTTGGGCAGGGGGTGGGCAGGAGGAGAATAAGAATACCACTTTGCGTACTTCTGTATCAAGTTTTTACAAAAGATGGTGTATTAGTTTTCACAGTAATTTAAAAACAATAAGGTAAAAATATTAAACACGAATTGGAAATCATTTAGCTTGAGGGTTTGAAGAGAAGTTGACAACCCTTCTAGAGATAACTAATGACACCTTGGAAGGTGGAGCAGGGTTGTTAATCCACTCTAAGAAGGAGAGAAAAGGAGGAGGAAGGAGAAACCACACTCTGCCCCCTTCTCCTGACAGTCAGGGTGAGAGTATTCCTACCACCCGGGAGGCGGTGGAGGAAGGCTTTGGTGAAGTCTGTGGAGGAGGCGTCCTGCTGGCCAGTTGTGATGTCGGCAACACTCTCCCGCAAGAGGGTGGGAGACCCACAAAGTGATCAGTGGGCAATTGCTGAGGAAATGATCTATCTGATTAGAGATGCTCTCCTCCAGGGCGCCTCTGTCTTTTGTTAAGAAGGTAAACACGGCCAATTAGATTTACCAGGTGTGAATTAAATTCTTCCCTGGAAGTAGTCTTGCCCTGTACATAGGGATGATCCATATATCTATATCTATATCTGTATCTATATCTATATCTATCTACCTATCTATCTGTCTCTATAGAGATATATAGATATCATTTATATGTATAAATTATGGTAAAACACACACAATTTGACATTTATCATCTTAACCATTTCTAATTCTCAACTGAGAACCAGCATCTCCTAATCCACAGAGGACCAATGGGAACGAAATTCCTCCGACAAGAGAACCAACATCTCCCAACCCCCCAGTTCCCTGGGAACCGCAAATGAGCTCCATCCAAACCAGGTCCCCAAGTTCCCCTAAACAGCTACATTTCCACCTGCAAATGGCACCTCTAAACCAACAGGGAGGTCCGAAAGCCCCCCCAAAATGGGTGGAAACAGGGTCTTGGCGTCCCGAGGGGGCTTTACTTATAAATGGCTGTGGCTGTTGCAAGGCTTCCCAACTCCATTTCCTTCCCCTGAAATCAGTTCAGGTTGGTTGGAGATGCGTCCATCCATCCAGAAAGAAGTGGGGCTCCTAGGAGCCAATCGCACCCCAGCACGTGCTTGGGAATGAATCCCTTTCTTTCTTACCCGAAAAGGTGATGCTCCTACCCATGGCTTCACATGTCACAGGGTGCCATTCTGTCGGGAAGCCAATGGCCCAAACCAGGGACGCCAAATCTGTTACCGGAAGCTCAGCCACTTGTCCATGAGGCTGAATAAGAAGAACAAGGACAAGTGGTTTGAGGAGGAAGGAAAGAGACATTTTATTACTTTGCTGGCAAAGGAGGAGTATGGAGACTCCTGTCTGAAATGCCATCGTCCTAATAACAAGCAGAAACACAGAGCTTTTAAAGGATGGGTTCTCAACTTCAGGCAATTGTTGTTCAACTACAGTTGGA